GTACTATGCTCATTTCATCATCCATTCCCCTCAGCCCCATTTTATTTCAGAGCAAGCCCTAGACCTCTTATTTCATATTTAATCCTTTCGTACATGTCACCTGGAGAGAGAAGTATCACAGCTCCCCCCACCCCCCAAATTGACAGTCATTCCTAATACTTGTTCCTGGTTCATTTTTTCCTAATTGTTGAAAAATGCATTTCTATACTTGGTTAGAAGCAGATTTCCAGTAAGGCTCACATTTTATTGGGTTGATGTTTCTTAAGTCTTTTCATCTTTAACAACTCCTCTGCTTTTTTCCCTTGCCATTTTTTTTTTTTAAACTGAGTCACCTATGTTGTACAATGTCCTCCAGTGGATTGTAATCTTGTGGCACTGTTTAACTTGTTTGCTTATCCACCGTGTATATTTTGATGTGTAGCCTGGTTAGGCTAAAACCTGTTTTTGTTTTCGTTTTTACCAAAGCTGATTTTTTTTACCCATTTTTCATTAATAAACATACCTACTAAAAGGTTATCATATGAACTTTATATGCAGAGTTGATTTACAGTACTTTAGTACTAAATGCTAAATACCTTCAGTTAGGTCTCAGTTGTGTCATGTTATCAGTTGACATTTTTTTGAGCACTTTCTAGAAGTCGGGCACTAAGCCTTATGTCCCTCAAATCTCTATGTATGAAGGTAAGTACTATGATCCTAGTTTTCCAAATACAGAAACAGACTAGAGTTTAAATTACTTAAGATTATTCCATGTACTGCTTTACATGCAATTAAATCTAATGTATGGATTCATGGTTTAATATTTTTCTTTTCCTTGTTTTGTGCTGTGCCATAATTAGGATGCAAAAGTAAGTTAATTTATTATTGGATACTAAAAATTACGTTTTCTCCATTAAATTCTAGTATGCCTTTTAATTACAAAATTGTTGCAAGTAATCCTTGAATTTGACCTGGTCCTGTTTTGTGATGTGCAAAATCAGCCACTTTGGAAAATTAAGTAATTTTTTTTCTAGCTATGCCTGCTTTGCCTTGTCTTCCTTTGGCAAATGAGTATTGATTGTTACGTAGGACAAAAGTGCCTTTGGTCCCAGGGTATTCTTTCTCTATGTTGCCTCACCGAAGCCACTGGTTGCCTTGGGGAGGTCTGGGAAGGTGAGTTTCTGAAGCCATGCTGCTGGGGACACTGACATTTCTATAAATACACATGACAAAAAAAAAAAAAAAAAGGCATGGGAAACAAAACTATGTGAAGATTCAGGAGAACTTGGGGTTTTCACCGCTTTTCATTTAGGGGAGGTTTTGAATTTTAACACAAAGATGACTTCCTTTTCCTGTAGCTAATTCGGTAGCAATGATTTTCTAAATTGCCAGTGGGCTTGACTGCCTTTTGTGTTACAGCAGTGGTACCCAGCACATTGGTAGATAATCAGTAGGTATTTAATGCATGCTGAAAATACCCTTCTGTGGTCTGTGATGTTTGGGGTCCAAAACCCTAAATAACCGCCTGCTCTCAATATCAGAATGCGCCCAAACCAATGAACTGCTTGCACTGTTCTCTGATACTTGCATATCCTTCCGTGTCAGTTTCACTCTCCAGCCTCCCCGGATCTGCTTACCAGAGTCTCACATTTTCCCTCCACAGGAAGCTGAAACCCCACGTAGTGTTCTTGAAGAAATTGGACTGACATAACTCTCCTCCCTTGTTGACGACTTCCTGTGGCATTTCACACACTGTAGATGGTCACTGCCTTCATGTCCATGTTAGCTAATGGTATCAGATGACGTCTTGTCAGTATTACTGTTTTGCTAAGCTGCTTCATTCAGGCCTACACACACACACACACACACACACACACACACACACACACAATTTTTTTAAAGGGAAATTTGGTTAATCAAGTGATAAGGGACTTAAACATGAGTTAGAATGATGCAGAAAAAGAAACGTACCTTTTCTGGATATTTTAGGTTTTAAATCTGTTTCTCTCAATCTGATTCTGTATCTGTGAAAATGACACAGTTAGGCAGTCTACGTTCATTAATTACTGTCTTTGGCAAAGGACACTGTTAAATTATAATATGAAACCTGGTTCTATGAAACCAAAGACTAGCGGGACATTTCAGTATATGTGAGAATAAAGGGAATTGATACATATCAAATGAGTTAAAATTGAACTATTTATGTTGAAACTTTAAAAAAGAGAACCAAATTTATACCAAAGACCCTTACTGGAAACTATAGACTTAAAGGGAATACACAAATGGCTAAATTGGAATGGTGTGTTTTACACTAAAAAATCTTTCCCTGGCATTCCAGACCTGGGACGAGGAACAGAGAGCGACTGTCTGCTAGTGAGCATGTTATTTTTAAGTCCAAGGAACATTCAACTCCCGAGAGATTTTTTTTTTTTTTTTTTTTTTTGCGGTCATAACCTTTTAGTGACTTAGACGGTTTTTGATGCCCCAAAGTAACAAAAGGAAACATTGACATAACCTGGAATTCTTCATAACAGCATCTCACAGAAAATGTGTTTCTTCTCTTCACAGTGTTGCGTAAGTCACTGTTTCAAGCACGACTGTCCCTTCTGGGGTGCTTGTCAGAGCCAAATGTATTTTGCTTTCCTCCACTTACAAGCGCTGCAAACGTTAGGGCAGCTTCCTTCCCTCCCATGGCACTGCCTAGTTATCAGAAATCTTACAAAAATAGATCCCACCTTTCATATCAAAGTGAGAGTTGAATGAGGTAAAATGGCATTAGTGGGCCCTATATTTTTTAAAGCTATACAGTTGTTTCGGTGTCACTTGTATACCTACTTCTGTGTATGTAAACATGTCTTCACGGTTCACACTTTCATTTGTATCTGCTGGGCTGGATTAAGCTTTGTCGTGATTGTGACCAATGCCTGTTCAGGCCATGTTAGCACTGTCTTAGCACCTCACCAATTAGTTGTAATAAATGTTCAATGTATACCACTGTAGTGTGTTTTTCTCTTTCTCTTCGCAAAGGTTTATCAACTACGGGGAGCTGCTCAAAGAATTTTACATTTTTTTCAAATGTTGAAAACTCCTCTCCATTTGAATGTGGTTGCTAAAAGCACACACGAGATAAATGGTGAAGATGTAAGGAGTCTTCATGTACTTTAAGCTCATTAAAAAATAATGTGGATTCCATGCTGAGAGCCTATCCACACATTTATTTTCAATCAATAAATGCTGCTTGTAAAACCTTGATGCAGTTGACTTTTCTAGTCTTTCTGAATGAGCAACTCTTGATTACTCCAGGTAATCAAAGGTATTGCAAATCAGCCGGATCCCCAATTCCCCCCAGCCCCCAAACTGAAGTGGCTAGCACACTTGCCAACATGAGCTGCTATTTGCAAACTCCTGCCTAATAGAAGCAGCAACTCAAAACTTTGGTTATCGTGAGTTAAGGGACCTCCTCCTAAGTGCAGATGGGAAATGCTACATCCTAAAGCAAGGATATTAAAGAACAAGGGATCAACTACCATCAAGTTTCTAGTCTGCTAAAAAGATACTTGCAGACTTAGTCTCCAATACTCAGTGGGTTTATTCACCGGCAACGAGCCTCATGGGCTTCTGCTAGCAACGTAGAGCTGGAATTTTTAAATCATAAATAGTAATGTTATAAATTTAAAAAGCAGTAGTAAATTTAAGTTCAAGATGGACACTTACCAGGATAATGAACCAGTCAAGTGGTTTAAAAACTGCTCTCCCCCCGCCCCCAACCACAATGCCCATGAATGCCCAAGAGAAAAGACCCCATCTCATAATTACCTTGAACACAAGCTGCTGTTTATCCTTTGTCCTCCATGATCTGTGAAGGCCATTCTGCTTGGACTACCACCTTTAATTGTGTATATCTTGGCTATATTTAGGAAAGTACTGAAGAACAATGGGTTTAATGACGGTTATTCTGCATTAGTGAGTCCAGTGGGTAATTACAATTTTCAGTCGTTTTCAGGGTAAAGCAAACATTTAAAGTTGAACAAATGAATTTGTAAGGTAAAATGATGTCCGGACCATACTTTCTTTTTAAAAAAATTTTTTGAATATTCATTTGTGAGAGACGGAGTATGAGGGGGGCAGGGCAGAGTGAGGAGGAGACGGAATCTAAAGCAGCCTCCAGGCTCTGAGCTGTCAGCAGAGCCTGATGTGGGGCTCCAACTCATGAACTGCGAGATCGTGACCTGAGCCAAAGTCGGACGCTTAATTGACTGAGCAACCCAGGCTCCCCTGGACCATACTTTCTTTTATAGACTACATACTGAAGAACGCATTTTCTTTTTTCCTTTTTTTTTTTTTTTTGAAGAACTCATTTTCAACAGATAACCCACTCACTCACCAATCCCAATCTTGAAATTTCTTTTCCTCTATTGGCTTCAGTATTTTGTGCATCCTTATTTCCAAATCTCAGGTTGCCAAATGCCACATACTCTGAAATTCAGTATCTCCAGTATGTCAATGGAAAGGTTACTAAGGTTACATATTAAAAACATATGAGGAAGTATAAGAGCATTTTTTTTTTTTTATGATCTGAAATCTAAGAATGGCATTCTTTGGCCTTAAGCCTTGTTTTTTTTTAAATAGGTCTCTGACCACTTTTTAAATGAGAACTGCTTTTACAGCAGGCAGATTCAGTAGCAACGACCCTAATTTTCCTGAAAATGACAAAAACAGGATTTACCTCTATATGAAGAGCTCCCCAACACACTATAAAAAAGATGACACCCCTAATGGAAAACCTCCACCTGAGAAGGTGCTGTGAATATGGGACAGGATGGAGAGGAAAAACTGACTTTACCCTTCAAGTACTTTAAGTTTTTTTTAATGTTTATTTTTGAGAGAGAAAGAGACAATACAAGCAGGGGAGGAGCAGACAGAGAGGGAGACACAGAATCTGAAGCAGCTCCAGGCTCCAAGCTGTCAGCACAGAGCCCTGACACAGGGATCGAATTCAGGAACCATGAGATCATGACCAGAGCCGAAGTCGGACGCTCAACCGACTGAGCCACCCAGGTGCCCCTCCCTTTAAGTACTTTAAAGCAAAGTGAATTGTAAAGTCAAAAACCTGCTCAGCTATTGTATGTAGAAAAATCCAATAGACTATTAAAAGGGCAAACAACCCGATTTAACAGCCATTAAATACAGAAAAAGTGTCTGGCTTAGCCAATACATAGAGAAACAAAGAGCTCAACATAAAATTTACCAAACTGGCAAAGGTTAAAATAACTTGTGGGAATAGAAAAATATATTACTGAGAGAGTGAACTTTTTGCAGCCTTTCCAGAGGGGAATTTGGAAATGCTTCAGCAGTCCTATCTCTGGATATAATGGAATTTATCCTAAGGAAATGGTCAGAAATGTGTGAGAGTAAGGAGACCCACAGCAGGATTGTTTAAAGCACTGGATTCTTTTAATCATGCAAAATTAAAGATAACGTTAAAATCCATCAGTAGGAATAGGGTGGAATAAACTGATTGGTCGCACCCTGCGGTAAGAAAAATAAGAAGGGGCTTGACAACATAGGAGGTTTTGCGCAGGAAGAAAAGCGTATTCAACTGCAGCCACGTACGATCTCTGTGTAAAAAAATATTTGTACACGTCCACGAGAAGAGGAAAACAAGACTTGAGCAGCGCTCCAGTGTTACCTGACCGTCACGCCAAGGGTTCGGATCACAAGTCATTTTCGGATTATCTATACAGTTTATGTTTTCTATACTACACACACGGATTCTCAGAGAATACAAGTGTTCTGAAATCGGGTTCGTCCTGCCAGACTTGCTAACGCCTTGAGCTCAGAGCCCTCGACTACCCAAGCAGGAAGCAGCTGTCATAAAGAAGATACCCGATCATTTCAGAACAACATGGGTTTATTTGGATCTGGGACTCTGCATCGCTCTGTCTCTGCTGCCCGACCTCCTCCTGCCACGGCTCCTGGAGCGGGAGGAGCTGGGGCTCCGGCTGGCCCGCACCCGGCTGCCGGCCCTCCTCCTTCCTCTGCTTCGGGAGCCGCGCCTCTCGCGGCTCTTGGACGGGTGTTTGTGCGACTTCTTCCCCCGGGGGCCGCTTCTCCTCTTCCTCTCGGCTTCCCCATTTCTCTTGTAGGAATGCGCCGGGCTCGGGCTCCTCCGCCTCCTGGGCCGCCCGTAGTAGTCGTCGTGGTGGCCGGGCCTCTCGCGCCGGTCCGGGCCCTTGCCAAAGCAGGCGGCGGTGCGCTCCGGAGACAGGTAGATGTCTCTGTTCGCTTCCCAAAACTCGTTGTTGGGGTTTCGGAACACGTGGAGGAAGTTGCAGTGCTTGCCTCGCGGACACTGCTGTATTTCAAACAGACCTGCCAGGGCACAGTGAGGAAACACCATTTACTGCTGGCGCTCGATCCTTTTTACAGGGGACACTGCCGATGTTCGCAGGTGACACACCTATCTTCTCCTGTTTGAAAGGGGCTTACGGGGGCACCTGGGTGGCTCATCGGTTAAGCGTCTGACTCTTGGTCTCAACAAAGGTCTTGGGATCGAGCCCGCCATTGGGCTCTGCACCGACAGCAAGCAGCCTGCTTGGCGTTCTCTCCCCCTGCTCCCCCCCCCCCCCCCCCCCCCCCCCCCCGCTTCATCTCTCAATAAACAAACAAACTTAAGAAAATAAAAGGGGCTTACATAAATTGATGTCATAGCTCTGGTTCCCAGAATTTCAAAAAGAATCAAGTGGTCTAACAAATGGCAACCGTGAAAGGTAACAAATCGGAGTTTCAAGTAGCCAGAGTCTCCTGTTCCCCGACTGCATGACGGTGTGCAGTGCGAGCGAACAAATGGTGGCCTCATCCTTGCTCTCGGGGTTGCACCGTCTCAGCGACGGGCAGGGCAGAGCCCTAATTCACACTGAACACCGAGCCCTCCCGAGTCCCTGTGCCCGGGGGCTCTGACCGCACGCTGCTGGCGGGACCCAGCCACTGGCCCGAAGACAGCCCAGTACGAGTGGAGGACCTTGTGTTTTCCTCACACTCTAAGAAGATGGTAAACACGGGCCGGATGCTTTTAAATTTACCAAATGCTTTTAATATGGAAGATTCCTGTCAAAGGTGAAATGTATCTGAACAATTCAGAGATCCTCTTGAGGGTTCCAAACTTTTTTTTTCAATCAGTAAATTCCCCAAATATGTACAAGAGTTGAAAGTGAAATCCCTCCACACCACACATTATATACAAAAAGACAGGATGGATCAGTCCTAAATGTAAGACATGAAACCATACGACTCTCTGAAGGAAACATACAAGTGAAATCTTCGGGACACGGGGCTGAGCAATGGATTCTTAGGACACGAAAAGCATAAGCAAAAAAAGAAAAAAAAAACATAGATAAAATAGACTTCATCAAAACTAAAACCTTTTATTCTTCACAGGACATGATCCAAGTGAACAGGCAGCCCGCGTGATGGGAGAAAACCTCTGCAAATCTTATCTGCAATAAGGGGCTTGTCTGGCCAACCACTCTTACAAGCCAGTAACAGCAAGTCAGCCTAATTAGCAGGGGGCCAAGTATCTAAACAGGCATCTCCCCAAAGAGGGTCTACAAATGAGCAATAATGAGGACACACAAAAACTGCTCACTGTCCTTAGTTCCGAGGGAAGATCACAAAGCGGTTATTTAACACAAGTGTAACAGTGTCCTGCTGAGTCAATGTCACACCCAGAGGTACCTCACTGAAGTCACTGGACTCCCAGGAACTGACAAAAATAACTGCCTTGGGTGGGGGGGGGGGCAGTTCCAGTTCCGTCTCTCGCAGCCCACAGGCTTTCAGACTTAAGGCGGAACGGTTGTGCTTTCCAAAGGAAGGAAGTCTAAATTCTCCCCGCCCCTTCCATAAAAGGTTTTTAAGTGACAGCATCCATTAAGCCCAAGGCCGCTGAAGATAAAGAATTCATAAATCATAGATTCTTTTTCATAACTGGTTTTAGACAGGCAAGTGTAAAGCCAAGAAAAGTAAAGGGTAAGAGAAGCGCTCCCCTAAGGCACGACCGCTCCATCTCTTTGCTCCCGGACCAGTTCAACAATAATAGTTCAATAATAATAGCTAAGCCCGCGTGACACAAACGAAGCGACGAGGCCTTCGGAACTGCCAGGCTAGTCCCAGGACAGACTCATCCCTGGGCTGGGCGGCCACGGAGCAGTGAGTCTGTCGGACCGAACGCGCTCGCTCCTGCGCGCGCTCTCTCTCTCTCTCTCTCTCTCTCTCTCTCTCACACACACACACACACACACACACGCACCCCACCCCCACTACTATGGGTCTCTACTGCACAAGCACACGTCTTTCAAGCGAGGCAGGACATGTTAGAGTGTCTTAGGTGGCAGAGAGAACAGCAGATTCGTTAGGGATAAAGACGGGGAAACAAAGCCAGCTTGTGTGAGGGGGGCCAAGCACTGCAGGTGAGGGCCCCCGACAGCCACGAGGGAGAGGCGGCCTCCCACTGACACAGTTCCTCAGGCCTCCTCAAGTTTTTGAGCCCAGGGCTGAGGACCAGAACGTGGGGGTTCTAGCCTCCACTCAGCTACTGACACACTGGGACTTCGGTCACCTCCAGAAAGTGACCCACCGTCCATGAGAGATCCAAAATGGGAGGTCCTTTACAGAATGGCCTCTGCTCGTCTAGTGCGAGGCAAAAGCTAATTTTCATCCCTTTAAGATTGTTTTTTTCCCTTAAGAATGTCCTTTTCCACAACACTGGAATGAATGGGGCAGAAGCATCATGCGGTATTTTACCACAAATGGCCATTTTCCACCGGGTCACTGGGCAGAATTCGCACTGGAGCTGCCGTCCTGCGTACCATCGTCCGTTAAACAGAGACAGGGCCGCTTGGCATTCTTCTTCCCTTTAGAAAACCACACGTGAAAGCGTGCATTTCACAGTAACGTTCTAGTATGCAGATGAGCCCTACTGGCGCATCACAGGCCCACCAAGTTCACTGCTTTTTCCGAGGGAGCCCTCGTGAGAGCACTCAAGCTCCTGGCGCTCACCATCTACTCAGGAGCACTTTGTACTAACCCTCCGGCACGTTCTGATGCACGGCCGTCGGCCAGAGTCAAAGGTGCTTACACCAAGGTCGGCCCGTTCCAAACACAGAAGCGTTTACCACCATCGGAGCCTCTCCTTTCTCAGCCAGCAGTGCTATTTTTCTTATTACAATGGTTAATTCAACCCACTAGCCATGGTGTGGCCCAGAGCAACAGTAAGACAGGCAGAAATGACACACTGTCTGCTCTCTCAGCCGGCCAGATGCACAGAGATTACTTGGGGCTTCAATTGGCAGCTCTTGCGCTGCATACTTTGCTCTTCTCTATCCTAGTTCCCCCTTTCCAGTTTGTATTTTAATTATTAAAACTATGTAAGTAAAAACATAACTATTGTGAAAGGCTCAAAGCTATGTAAGTACACAACGAATGAAATACAAATGCATTTTCAAATCCCTTCTATATATATTTCTATATCAACTCTTGATATTTACATTTTTAAAAATACCATGCATATGAAAGCCATATATTTAGTGGGGAAAAAACCCCAGACGGCAACATAATCACAACACTATCCCGTGACAAAATGTGAAGATGTTTATGTTCCAAATACTTACGATTGATACTGAACATACACATTGCCTCTCAGGTGAGGTTCCAAGTTGCAGCTGACCTAAGGGGCAACAAAAAATGTGATTTAAAAAACATGAAGAAAGGGGCACCTGGGTGGCTCAGTCGGCTCAGTATCCTACTCTTGCTTTCTGCTCGGGTCATGATATCATGGTTCGTGAGTTCAAGCCCCACGTTGGGCTCCATGCTGCCAGTGCAGAGCCTGCTTGGGGTTTGCCCTCTCTCTGATCCTCCCCAGCTTGTGCGCTCTCTCTCTCTCAAAATAAATAAATAAAACTTTAAAAAAAAATCTTAAAAAGAAAAATGAAGGAAAAGAACCACCCCCAGTCATCATCGGCACCTTGTCCAGGGTAACACTGCCAAAAGTAGTTATCATTTGAAGATTCCAAAACCCAGATATGATACCACTTGCAGCTCTATTTAAGGCATGCTTCAGCACACGGCAGCATTGCAGGCCCCAATGATCAAATGATCCCTGTTGATTTAGATGCGTTTTTCATAGACATGAAACGCTTCAAACATACATAAAAACACAGAGAACAAAAATCAACCCATACATAACACCACCCAGATTCAACACTAAGGCTTTCCATTTTTGACTAAGAATGTTTAAGTATGCAAAACATGAAAGACCCAGTTGAAACCCCCTCTGCCTGTTCTCCCTCCCCCAATGCATGGAAGAGCATTAGCCTGAGGCTGGAGTGTCCTTCACACTCCAAATGGAAACGCATGTGCACACACACACGTCTATATGCACACAGACAGGCACATACACATATATGCATGCCACAAAATACATAGGTATATTATGTACAGACAGGTCTATTATGAATAAATGGGTATGCTTTATGTGAATATATGGGTATATTTATATTTACATATGTAAAGAAACTTGTATATGTATTGACAAACGATGTAAAGTATTGCTTTGTACAATTTTTACACAAATAGTGTATATTTTACATTCTTTTTTCAAGGTATGATCACACAAACATGACTCATTTTAACTATATGCTGGATAGATCCCATTATCACATTTATTTAGCTACTCCTTTCATGATAAATATCCAAGGTGCTTCCACGGTTTCATCAACAGTGCTGCAATCTGCATCCCTGAACGGGTCTCCCTGGGTACGATTTCTCTGGTATGCATAACTGGTATTGACTAGGTATTGACAAACTGCTCTCTGAAGTGGTTTTACTAATGGGCACTTCCTCGCCCAGTCTTGGTATTATCAGAATTTATAACTTTTCACCTGACAGGTGTGAATAATCTCATTTAATATGCACTCTTCTATTACTCATCGGGTTGAACATTTGATCATTTGCCTTCAACAATGACAAATCTGGACACACAGATAAACGGAACAGAACAGAAAGCTCAGAAATAAACCCACGATTATATGGTCAATTAATTTTCAACAAAGGAGGCAAGAATAAGCAATGGGGAAAAGACAGTCTCTTTTATGAATGGTGCTGGGAAAACATGCGAAGGAATGAAACCGGACCACTTTGTCACACCATAAACAAAAATAAACTCAAGATGGATGGAGGAACTAAATGTGAGACCTAAAACCATAAAACTCCTAGAAGAGGAAAAAAAAAAATCCTAGAAGAGAGCACAGGCAGTAATGTCTCCGACATCAGCTGAAACAACATTTTTGGAAATAAGTCTCCTGAGGCAAGGGAAATAAAAGCAAAAAACTATTGGGACTTCATCAAAATAAAAAGCTTCTGCACAGTAGAGGTAAAAATCAACAAAACTAGGGGCGCCTGGGTGGCTTAGTCAGTTAAACTTCCGACTTTCGCTTAGGTCATGATCTCGCGGTTCGTGGGTTCGGGCCCCGCGTCGGGCTCTGTGCTGACTGCCAGCTCAGAGCCTGGAGCCTGTTTCAGTCTGTGACTCCCTCTCTCTCTGACCCTCCCCTGTTCGCGCTGTCTCTCTCTCTCTCCTAGAAATAAATAAAACATAAAAAAAAAAAATCAACAAAACTAATAAAAGGCAACCTGTGGAATGGGGGAAGATATTTGTAAATGTCATATCCAATAAAGGGTTCATATCCAACATATAAAAAGAACTTATACAACTCAACACCCCAAAAAACAAATAATCCAAGTAAAAATGGGAAGACAGGGGCACCTGGGTGGCTCAGTCGGTTAAGTGTCCAACTCTTGATATTGGCTCAGATTGTGATCCCACAGTTGTGGGTTAAAGCCCTGCATCGGCCTCCACGCTAAGTGTGGAGCCTGCTTGGGATTCCTTCTCTCCCCCTCTCTCTGCTCTTCTCTGCTCGTGCTTTCTCTCTCAAAAATAGATACTAAACTTTTTAAAAAATAATAAAAATTTTTAAAAATGGGAAGACATGGGGCACCTGGGTGGCTCAGTAGGTTCAGCATCCGACTCTTAGTTTTGGCTCAGGTCAAGATCTCATGGGTTTGTGAGACTGAGCCCTGTGTCAGGCTCTGTGCTGACAGTGTGGAGCCTGCCTGGGATTCTCTCTCCTTCTCTCTCTGCTCCTCCCCTGCTGTGCTCTTTCTTTCTCTCTCTCTCTCAAAATAAACATTTTTTTTAAAAAAATGAGAAGACAGGAACAGACATTTCTCCAAAGAAGACATCCAGATGGTGAACAAACACACGAAAAGCAGCTCGACACCACTCATTATCAGGGAGATACAGATCAAAACCACACTGAGATACCACCTCACACCTGTCAGAATGGCCAAAATGATGAAGAAACAACTAGTGTTGGCAAGCATGCAGAAAAAAAAGAACCGCTGTGCACTGTTGGCGGGAATGCAAACTGGTGCAGCCACTGTGAAAGACAACATGGAGGTTCCTCAAAAAACTAAAAACAGAATTAGCATATGATCCAGTAATAGTACTACTGGGTATTTACCCAAAGAAAATGAAAACACTAATGTAAAAGGACACGTCTGTTCATAGCAGCACTCTCAACAATAGCCAAATCATGTAAAGAGCCTAAATGTCCATGAACGGACGAATGGATCAAGAAGATGTGGTTTATCTATACAATGGAATACTACATGGCAATGAGAAAGAATGACATCTGGCCACGTGTAGCAACATGGATGGAACTCGAGGGTGTTATGCTGAGCGAAATAAGTCAGGCAGAGAAGGACAGATACCATATGTTGGCACGTACAGGAGGATTAGGAGGAACTTAACGGAGGACCGTGGGGGAGAAGAAGGGGAGAAATGGTGGGGGAGAGGGAGAGAGGCAAACCATGAGAGACTCTTGAATGCTGAGAACAAACGAAGGGCGGATGGGGGGGGGGGGGAAGGGGGGAGATGGGCATGGGGGAGGGCACTTGTGGGGATGAGCACTGGGTGTTATNGGTGGGGGAGAGGGAGAGAGGCAAACCATGAGAGACTCTTGAATGCTGAGAACTGAGGACTCATGGGTGTGGGGGGGAAGGGGGGAGATGGGCATGGAGGAGGGCACTTGTGGGGATGAGCACCAGGTGTTATATGGAAACCAACTTGACAATAAACTATTTGTTAAAAAATAAAAAAATAAAATGTATAATAAGTCAAAAAAAAAAAAAAGATATGGTTTATCTATACGATGGAATACTCCATGGCAATGAGAAAGAATGAACTCTGGCCATGTGTAGCAACATGGATGGAACTCGAGGGTGTCATGCTGAGCGAAATCAGTCAGGCAGAGAAGGACAGATACCATATGTTTGCACGTACAGGAGGATTAGGAGGAACTTAACAGAGGACCGTGGGGGAGAAGAAGGGGAAAAATGGTGGGGGAGAGGGAGGGAGGCAAACCATGAGAGACTCTTGAATGCTGAGAACAAACTGAGGGCTGATGGGGGGGGAGGGGAAGGGGGGAGATGGGCATGGGGGAGGGCACTTGTGGGGATGAGCACTGGGTGTTGTATGGAAACTAACCTGACAATAAACTATTTGTAAAAAAGAAAATAAACATTAAAAAAGAAAACAGTTACCAGAAGGGAGGTGGGGGAGGGGCAGTGGGGGGAGCGAAATAGGTGAAATGGGGGAAGGGGATTAAGAGTACACTTTATCTTGATGAGCACTGAAAAATATATACAATTTTGGAATCCCTATACTGTACACCTGAAACTAACACTGTATGTTAACGATGCTGGAATCAAAATAAACTTAAATTTAAAAAAAAAGACAAATAGGACTTGTTTATTTAATGGTGTAAGAAGGTCTCCAAATAATTGATACACATGTTTAGTTTTTATTTTCAGAATGAATCTACATTATTACAAATTTGTTCTAGAGTATTTTAATTAGAGTATCCACAGGGGCAGATCCTAAGGATAATTTCTAACCCCATCCTTGGCAGGAGGACCGAAAGGCCTGTGGAGGCCGTGTCAGTTACACCAGCAACTTTAGAGATCATTTAACCCAGTGGCTCCCAAGGACCCATTAATTCTCCATGATGAAGTCAACGTTTTGGAAATTTTCTTACTAAACGCCTTTCCATTTAGAACTTGCAATGTGATTAGCACGAGCGTGGCTGATAGAATTCTAAACCAAAGCAAAAACCACAGCACGGCTAGTGGGTGCAGCCTGTTAGAAGGAACGCCGGGGTCCCCACTAAGCAGGAGCACTCACAGAGGGGTACAGCGCAGGGCCCCCCAGATGGTCCCACAGATCAGCCAGCACTGATGCGGTCCCATTCCCTCCCTTTCGGGATAAGGCCGAGGCAGGAAGAGGGCATTGACACGCTTGAAAGCAGGGCTAGTCAAAGCACACGGACTCCTCGGCGGCGCTTCTAACGTGTGCTGTGTGGGGCCGGCCCTGGCCCTTCCGCTCTCGTGTTCGCTGCCCGCGCCGAGAAGTGGCATGAAGACCCTAAGGGGCGCGCCACAGAAATATAAGGTAAAGGGCCTAAAATATATAGTTTTTAACTTTTGCACTCAATGGACGGCAGTGGAGCTCTGCCTTCCGTGAGTGCTGCTGGGTGCTTACAGTGGCCCTGTTCCCGGCCTGGCCCCGTCAGTGCCAACCAGCAGGGGGAAGAAAAAAAAGCATTTTATTCCTTTTTTTCCCCTTCAAATTGTGGGGCATTTTCCCCGCCCTCACATAGCAAAATCATTCAGGTTCGGATCTCATCAAATCACAGATGAGCTAGGAGGCCTCACTATGCTAGGATTCAATTCCTGGGTCCTGAGAGCAGCGGCTATTGACCTCTGCCTTTATTCTTGCCTTTAGGAATCTTTTCAAAGAACTATGTGTAATCTGAAAGGCTCTTTTTCAGCCAGTGCGCTGCACCACAAGCCATGATTTGAGGGACACCATGTTTAGTATTGAGAGTACTGAATGAAGAAGAACAATGTCAAAAAAAGGAATCAAGGTTTCTTTCCTTGGGTGGCTCCAGAAGACCGAATAGGTTCCTTGGATGGAGGCTGCAAGCGGGCACCATCAACGTGATGCGACCAATTCAGTAAGTGGTGTTCCACTGCATACACCGCGGCTCTAGGTGAGACCCACTCACCTAGAGGGGAGTGAGGGAGGGGGCGCATCCTCCGTCACACGCAGCCTCTAAACCAACGCTGGGAGGGCTACGTGCGCGATCTTATTCTGGGAGTTCACGGGCTGCGAAAGAGTTAGACCATAAAGGTACTATGAACAGGTGAGAGATCCTTCCATCCATCTAGACCCAGGCATCCAGGAACCAGCACACCAGTACAGTCAGGATTTCATGCAGTCCCTCTACTGCGCAGGGCCCGAGGGGGTGGTGGTGAAGGAAGTCCCATGTACTGAGCGCCTGGGTGCCCAACGGCGGGCTGGGTGCCGCACCAACGCGCACACCCGGCCCAGGCAGGCAGCCTGCGCCCTAGCACGCGTGTCCCACGGGGCACTTTGGTGGGAAGCGAGCAGCCCCCTCCTTCCTGTGCATCGTGCACGCCCACCTTGAACTGGATCACTTTCCCCACGTTCTTGAACTCGGGAAGCACGTCATCATAGAAGTCCAGGAACTGCTGGTAGGTCTCCTCTTCACTGTACTCTAGACTCGCATCAGGGTCATAGTCGTCCCTTCTGCACTGCTCCATCCCGAATGTCGTAAACATGCTTTTAATCAGAAGTGTGGGGCTCGAGGATGGGAAATTGTGTTTACGTGAGCACCTGCATACCAAAGGGAGACTTAAATGCAGCAATCTGACAGAATATCAAAAGCTCGCTTTATACTCTGGGACAGAGACCCAAGTAACTAGGTTGTTTCCACTTACTTGCAAGACAATAAACCCTATCCAGACATCGCATTTCAGTATCTAACCTGTTCTAAGACTGACCAATATACTTGCTCTCATGAAGATGTAAAGTGGGCAATTATTCCCAAGTTCATATGCCACTCAACCGCCTTTTGGTGACGTTCACAAAGGCGCCTACGTGTGAAAGCGCAGGAAAAAAGGAGGCCCGCTGCCACGACGGATTGTGGTGACAGGCATGAAGATACGGGACGGGGGCCTCAGGAGGAAGGGGAGAGCAATATGATCCTGGTTCTAGACGATCTTCAACTAAGTCCGTGCCTAGACAGTAGGGTACCCTAAGCGTTTCGAGCTAACGCGATACTTCAGTTTCATGTGTGTATAAGCATTTCGTGGTTTTCATGGCATTCTTATATTCCTTTCTGTGATCCTCACGACCAGTCAGGACAGTCGGGGCCAGTATTTCCCCCACTCTGTAAAGAGGGAAGCTGAGGCCTAGAGAAAACCACTTATCCGGGTCACATGGCTGGTAAAAGAGGGTTCACGAGATCGGAGGTAGCCTACAGTCTAGTGCCCGTTCCCATTCTGGTGTGATGAACGCAATTAGTTTTCATGTAATGAGGAGGGTAACCATTAGGAAGGATATTTTTCTTTTCACATCTTAAACTAAATCAGGTTAGTTTATATGAGTCTATTTACTTCCTTCTCTGAAAATGAGGGGGAGAAATGTAGTTCAAGGTTCCAGATCATTAAATTCTCCTATTAGGTTTCTACTTAAAAAATTGGTGGAGACAAAGTTTTCAGGAAAAAAAAAAAAATCCCTCCAATGTAGGAAGAAAAAAAGCTGGAGACCAAGGCAAGTGTTAGAAAAGTCAATGGCCTTGAAATGACTACATGTTGAACTCCTACTCACTGTCTCACTGTGTGCACTGGGGGAGACAACGGATACAAAGTGCCCCCCATACATCATACCCAGTTCAGAGATGCGCAGTGTCCATTAACATGAAATGTTCAAAGACCCTCCTAGATAGATTATTCCATTAGAGACCTTGTGATGAGATCCATCTTCCCAAGGAGGGCTACCGGCAGCACAAAGAGTGAAAGTTCAACCTGACTACAGTGTTCGTGGTGAATCAGAATTTTCCAAGTACAAAGCACATAGAGACTTCACCAAGGAACCAATTGAACAAGGTTAAAATTCTGCTCATGAACTTGGCTCTAGTTCCCAAGGTGTCAAATGAGCATTTGAGTTTTGGAATAGAGCCAAAGTCCCCATCTAGGGAAAATCCCCACTTGGCCTGGAGACAGTCCATACAACTGGAGTTCATTCGGGGTCAGCCCGATAGCTCCTACTGAGATGTCAGCTAAGACAAGAGCGATCTGGAAAGGCAATCTAAAGGTGTGGTACCAAACCTGTGTGATTCCCAGAATCGCCTGGAAAGAATGGAGATTTCTCAGGTTGTTCCAGACCATCTGTTAAGATCTCAGGATGGGGAACCCATATTTTCACAGTAACTCTCCCCACCTGATTCTAAAGGTCAGCCATGTTTGGGGAGCCATGGTTTAAGCAGTGCTATTTACTTATTATGCAGTTAGTGGAGGAGAATAAGACTGCCACAAAATCACATAATAAGATACTACCCTGGCCCAAGATCAGCCTGTGAACCGTGTGGTCTCCAGCTGCCCCCTCAGGTGTAGCCAACTGACTGCACCTCTTTTTCCCTTCCTGGGGGAGCACTCAAGGTTCTCACTACCTCTGTGCCTCACAGAATCAAGTTACATGCTGAAATTAGGCTGCGACCATTTACTCGGTCTCTGTAAGAAACAGTTTTGGGAAAATTATGTAAGCAGCTGTTAATAAAACATCTGTCAAAGTGACTGTCCATCTCCTTACTCCAGGTCTTTAAGCAGTATTCCATGGGAGAAACATGTAGAATCTGATGCCTGGAAAATCTCTGGTCTTTCCAGAGATACCACTCACTCTTCCTTTTTTGGTAAGAACTAAATAGGCCATTATCTGCCCAGGCTATGTAACAATCCAGGGCCAAATGTACTGCACATTCACAATAGCTCGCTTTCTCCTCCTTTCCTTTTCATTCGGTAAACGTAGTGCAGAGTAGATTTCAAGCCCTGTTTAAATCACTCCTGGAACTCAGTGAGTTATAAATAACTACTCTGATAAATAAGTTTTATTTTTCATCAGCAATTATGTTTTCAGGAGGGAAACAAAAAAAAACAAAAACTAGAACTCCCCTCAAAGCTGTGACTCCAAGAAGTATCAACTCCAGAAAGGTTCTAGAATTGAACTGTGTACTAATTATAAAAACGAAACCACAGAAGAAACGCTTAGGTTATAGAAGTGTCTGTCTGATGATGGGTCAAGCCTCAAGAGCAAAGAACAGCTGTGTGGTTCTGGAGCAAGTCACTGCGGCTCTTTGTAGAAGGGGAACAGCTTCATTGTCTGCAGGGATGGTGCTGGATTTTGAAATTGCTCCTTGCATAGAATTTGCTTTCACAATTCATCACTTGAATGATGAAAGTACCCAAATGTTCTCAATTTCATGCGCCAAGGAAAATATTAAGAAATGTTCACAAACTAATCTGATCACTGCCAATTATCTCCTTGAAATGATTCTCAGGGCTGGGTTTTAAAAGCCTGACAGTCAGGCAGAGGAGGACAGATACCATATGTTTACACGTATAGGAGGATGAGGAGGAACTTAACGGAGGACCGTGGGGGAGAAGAAGGGGAAAAATAGTGGGGGAGAGGGAGGGAGGCAAACCATGAGAGACTCTTGAATGCCTCAGCAAAAACTGAGGGCTGATGGGGGTGGGGGGGAGGAGGGGAAGGGGGGTGATGGGCACGGAGGAGGGCACTTGTGGGGATGAGCACTGGGTGTTATATGGAAACCAACCTAACAATAAACTATTTAAATAAATAAAAATAAAAAATAAAAGCCTGACAGTCTATTCTCCTTCCCGCAAACAAGTAGTGCCAGCTGATTTCCTGAAATCATTCAGGCCGTCTCCCCTTTTCTCATTTTTGCCCATCGAAAGGAGAATTCAGAATCACATGAGCAGTCTTCAAATTCAAGGAAATGCTAGAGATACATCATAAATGAGGAGTCCGGCAGCTAGAAAACCTTAGATGCAATCTGGTTCGGCTACCCACATAAATGTGAATGTGTATCGAGTCTCAACTGTCCTCTTTGGTGGGAGGTGTTTAAGATCAATTATGACTATTTCTTGACGAAATTAAGCAAAGGTTCAGCAAACACTGTGAAGGTACAAAGGGGAATCAAGTCTCTTCTCCTTTCCTTAGTTCCTAGTTCTTCAAGAGGAGGCTTTCAGTACTGACCGCATCCTGTGAGCCCTTTTACAGATATTCTGGGTTTACACAAGCCTAGCTCTAAACTGCAGAAGGAGCCACACCTCCTTCATCAGTGGCTCCCAACCCAGGATGCATGAGAAACGTCTGAGGGCCTTTCAAAAGTAAGGCTGCCCAAGTCTCACAGATTTACTCAACTTGAGGTAGGACACAAATTTTTAAAGCTTTCTAGAGGATTCTAATGTGCACCTGGGTTGAGAGCCATTGCTCTTAAAAAATGTAAAGGTATGAGGGCTTACATGACAAATGAAAAATAAGAGAAAGGTCATATTTTCAAAGAAGGAAATGAAACTCATGGTTGGATAATTTTTTGAATACAATGAGCGACAACATAGTTTTCTCATTAAATACATATGAGTTTGCCTTTTCATATCCTGCTCAAGATTAAAATGACACTAAGAAATAATTAGCTCTCTTCTGCAGAACGTTTAGCAATAATCAGATTTTGTCTTGGATAGATTAACTCACCATTATGAACTGTTTATGTACTTTGAGTTGTTCATTCATGACTAAGACAAATTATAAAAATCACCAATGCCTCCTGGCATATACTTTTTAAATGTTTGCTAAATGAATGAAGACCTTGACATTTAGTTCTGTTCCACATGAATGTCCTGTTGCGAAAACATTGAGTCAAAAGAGGCGGGCAACTGAGTGTCTCAGAAAATAAGGGCAACCAGGACAAAATGAAAACAGCAGCAAACACTAAAGACAGTGTGTGCTGTGTGCCCACCATGGCTCTTGTGCTTTCCCCACATGCGTTCCTTGCAGCCTCACAACCGCCTCCCTTTGAAAGGAGATACCATTTTTAATCTTGGTCTTACAAATGAGGAAACTAAGGCATGGAAGGTTTAAGTAACTTTCTCAACGTGACGGCTGCTACAGTCAGTTTCTGCACCCAGGGTCTGTTCTGGAGTCAGAGCAGAGAGGATGGGGAAGGACAATACTTTTCCTCACTCCCTTGGGTCCTTTCACGGCTGGCCCTCTGGGCAGCCAATGTTTAAAATTTTAATTAATTTTACTTTGTTGAGGCATGCCCATTTTTGAAAGCCTCTCTTGTGCACAGTGTCAGTCATTCAAAAAAAAGAAAGCCAAGCTACTCCAGTCTGTTGCGATCCGTCATTTCCCCGTCTGAGCCGTCCCACGCGGACCCACGCAAGCACAGGAAGAGAAGGAAAAGCAAAAGGTCTTGGCGAAGCTGCAAAGGAGGGCAAGGGACGCCGGGCTCGGCCAGGGTGCGGCACAGGAGGGGCGGTGGGGCTGCAGAAGCCGCCGCAAGGATGCAGCTGGCGCCTGACTGTGGACAGGCCAGACTCGAGCCTGCGGTGCTCCCTAAAAGAGAACTCAAAACCCTTGACGTTTCGATTCACGATAAAGCAAAATTAATTACCTATCTCCAAATCTGCACGCTCCTGTTTTACTGTAGAATGGACAATTAGCCCGGTCTTTCTCCATTATCCTTAAGTCCATGGGTGGTTCTGGGTTTTGCCATGTGGCACCATTTTCCAACTGTTGAAAATAACCATGACTTTACTGGTGGTGTAAAAATCCACGAAGAACTTGATGTTTCAGAAGTATCCAAATATTTTGGCCAAAAATACAAAAAACCAAGCTAAGAATATATACATTTGGGTTATAACACGCAAACAACTGTCTGGAGACACGCAACGGGGTGGCTGCTGGCTTCCGCTCACTGCCCGCAACGGGCAGCGCTGTGGCTACCAGCAGCAGTCGCCAAGGCTTGCCCCCTGCCCATCCGTTCTGAAGAGGGTCAAAGGACTTGTCGGGGAGCCACCCAAGGGAATGTTAAGCTGCTCTATTTTGGGGCAACAGCGTGTCATGTTGCCCACACACACTTTAAGGACTATAAATAAGCACCATCCACAGGGCTGATCCGATACCATTTGCTTTTGTTCGTCAGAAAACTCCCGCTGTTGTTGGCGCTGCTCTGAAGAGTCACAGAGCCACGAGAGAGACTCCGATATTCAGAGCTGACCTAAATAGCTTACCACAAAATTAACGTTACTAGAACTGTTTTTATAGAAGTGTTCACTGGTCTCGAATTCTGAATGGAAGGTTTAAAAATACCTCAGATTCAGCCTGCTCCAGCATCTTCTGCACAGCTTCCTACAAATGGTGCAAACACAGGACTAATGAAAACGTGCAAGTCAGGAAAGTCTCCTCTGGTTTCTCTGGTTAAGAATCTCAAGTGTAACAATTAAAAAAAAACCCCAACAACAAAAAGAAACCATACACACAAAAGGCTTCGGGTTCTAGTTTGCTCTCTACAGCACAGATCTTCTGAAAGGCCTTCAAAGGACACATGGTTGAGAATGTTTATTCAAAGAGGACACTGAACAGCTCACAGTGCAAAACACAGTCTTATAAAAGTTTCACTAACAGTAATGTTTAGCATATTTGGTCATACACACCACATTCTAGCTTTTAAGAGGAGCGATCTAGTATCAGTGAATATTACAAAACGCAATGCTCAGATGAAACATCATCCACACTTAACAGAGGTTAAATTATGACATGAACAGTAGTAATCCAGGCTGATGACAAAATCTCAAACTTTTTGGAAAGGCAAAGGAAATCCTGCAATAAACCATTCTAATTCTGAACTCGCTGCCATTTAAACAAAACATTTTAAATTCTTCTTGACAGACCTCTCTTCCCCAGACCCTGAGAGCATGACCTAAAAGACTCGTCCATTCGGCTGTTCGAGAACTCTGCCTGGCCTCACGGAGTGGGCTTAACAGCTCTAGCTCTTCCCTACCCCCGGCCAGCTGGCCACCCCCACAGCTTGTAACTGGTGCTGCCGTTTGCTGGCTGTTCCGACTAACAGCCTAAAAAGTAGAACTGGAATTCCTCTCCTTTTCCTTCCCCTCCCTGTCCATTCAATCTCCAGGCCGGAGTCCCACTGACTCGGCCTCCACACACCCCAGATCTGTGTCCTTCTAACGAAGCACTCCCTTTGTCGAAACCATCATGTCCTATCTGGAACAGCAGCCTTCTAACCGGTCACTCTATACCCACTCTTGCTTCCTTGGGTCACACCACAGCTCCCTGCTCCCTACACACACCGCCCCCCCCCCCCGCCTCCTTCTTTACACTACAGTTAGAATGACCCATTAAAGGTACAGATATAAATTAAATGAAGTCAAACCCTGCTTAAAAACCCTGCAATGGCTTCCCATTACACTAGACATAAAACCCAAACTCCTCTTCCCAATCTAGGAGGCCTTACATGATCTGACCCTGCCTACCTCCCTGACTCCCTCCCTAGTCCCCGCTGCTCTCTGCTTTGTTCTCTAAGATTTCAAGCACCCTGACATTTTTTCGTGCTCAGGTCTCTTCCCTCCGCCTGGATACCTTCTCCCCAAGATCTCTACACTCAGGTGTCAGCTCAAACATCAGCTCCTTAGACAAGTTTTCCTTGATGAAGCAATCTAAAGAAGTACATCCCTACCCCTAATCACTATCACATGGCTCTGCTTTCTCTCTTTATAGCATTTACCATGATCTCATAGCACTTAACATTATTTTTTGATTATCTGGTTCCCCCATCTAAAAAACTCAAGGAGAACAAGGACTGTCTTTTTCACTGCGCTATCTCCATCTACTAGAAAAGTACACAGCACACAGCAGAAACACAGATTGCATACGTCTTTATACATGCTTAGAACCTACTTCATTTTACGTGCCTTTCTGTAATGGCTCACCAGACTTTCTTTCAAACAAAAGATTTTTTTTTTTTTTTAAAGAAGCCTTAGCTTTTATCTGATGCCAGAAAGACCTCAACTGACAACATTCTACTGTTAAAATGGGAATCCATTACTCTATAAAATAATGACAAGCTCCCACCAGTTTTCCTGCCCTCTAAAAACCTAACATGGTCTCCTCATCTGTAACGCAGCTCTCAAATAAGGGTGTTAAATATTTGCACTGCAGTTAACTGAAGGCCAGAGACACAGAAAACAAGGTTCATGGAGGCTGCTTCTACCCTATCACAACTAGGATAAACAAATCCATTTTTCTCCATGATAAGGTGACTAACTACCCACTTTTAGGCTATTCAAACTTGGGGACATGATAGAAAAGATACATCCTGATGAATCAGTCAAGGAATGATGAGCTGTGGGATCTTGTAAATAAATACACAGCAGTAAGGAACAGCAGCAAAATACATCAAAGCAATCTTTAAAAGATCCTGGAAGATAGATACACAGACTCTATAGATTTCTTTCTTTAATGAGTGACTATGTGTTAGCTACAATGACCTTTATAGCCAAGTTGGAAAGGGAGTCAAGATTTAGCAACAAAAAATATTTCCTAATTCCTCAATATCTGAGTTCATGTGATTTCTTTCAATCATTTCATTCTTGCTAACATGCCATAAGCAGTTAAGTGTCTCATTTACTAAATAAATGTGGAAACTATACAAAATATTCTCTAAATGAGTCAACCCGTATACAACGGAACTTGAGAAAAACACTGGTGTGAATGTGAAGGGCCAGAGCAAAAAACACTTGCACTAGAGTGGTACAAAGTGTAAAGCAGAGGCCAGCTGCCTGTTTTGAGTAGTAAAACCAGAAGATTTTATTGGAACACAGCCACAACCATCTATTTATGTATCATCTATGGCTGTTTTCATGGCACACCAACAGAGTTGGATGTTTGCAAGAGAGACCACGCAAACCACAAAGCCTAAAATATTTACTCTCTGGCCTTTACAGAAAAAGTTTGCCAATTCCTTGTATAAAGGGGAAGATAGGGAGTTGCAGGAAAATCTTAACTTAAGGTATGTGCCACTGCACAGACCCAAAGAAGAGCATCATAAGGAAACTGTAGTGTGGATCTATACTAAAAACAGGGCTCTTCCTCAACAGGAAAACGAAGCTCAAGCCCCGACAGGCCTACAGCTCATTCCTCAGCCCCAGCCCCGCCCCGGTGTGCGCACTAAGAGGATACGCAGCGCGTTTATCCTCCTGTGACAGGAATCACCTCTCTTTCTCTCTTCTCCTGCAGCTTCTGCTCCTCCTCTTCTCTCTCTTTTCTCTGCTGCTCTTCCCATTCTTCCTTTAACTTTCTCTTTACAGAAACAAGAAAAGGAAAGGTCATTCTTTTCACTCGCTTTTTAAAAACATTTAATGTACACGGAAGGAAAGTAAATGCAAAGTTTTCCCACTGGTAAAATGGAGAATATCCATTCTTTTAAGTTCAAAATCTGTAACTCTTGGAGTTATTTTGGTTAACTAGTCAGCTGCTTATCTGATGATTACCATACCTCTTGTTCTTCTTGCCGTTTTCTAGCTGCCTCTTCCTTTTCCTTCTTTATTCGGAATTCCTCTTGCGCCTTCTGCTCCCGAAGCAACCACGCCTCGTGTAACTTTTGCCTATGAATGTAATGATGCAACCAAACAAAAGAAATGAGCATTAATCTACAAATACACCCACTGAGAGCAACATGATGAAGCTATCACGAAAGATATTTTCCAGAAAGCAGTTAAGTGGGAAGAAGAACAGAAGATATGAGTAGCAATCTTGGAAAAGCACTACATCTCAGTAGCTCTTTTCCTAGAGGGTGACGGCTAGAAGTCACTACGTGCACTTGTGATACCTGTGACATCTTTTACATAGAACAATGACACTACAACTTTCCCTTTAGGTTGACCGTTGTGATGTGCAGGCATCAATAAAGACGCCAAGTTTCAAAGCACCACCTAGCTTTTCCCACTCAGAGGGTCCTAGCCTTTCTCTTCTATGCATTTTACAAGTGGCAATGCCAGACCACATCACTATGAACACCTGTCGCCTGCAGCTGTGTATCTTTGCACGGCTAGTCTAGACAGTTATGAGGCTCCTGTGGCTTGCCCCACGCACCTAAACTGCTCAAAGAAGGGAAATAAAACCATACCTGATCTTGTCTTTAAAATAAAGCTACAGGTTTTGAGATGACAAGCAGTTATAAAAATAAATGAGCAGGTGTCTAATTTTGTTAAAATGCCCGATTATAAAGAGTGATATTATCTTAAAATGGCAAGCGTCTCAGATGTCCAATAGCATTAAGTTTCTAACTGAAAGATGGGCTGCATCTCAAAAGTTCAAAAGCCAATCAAGTATTTATTTATTTTTAATTTTTATTTTTGAGAGAGAGGGAGAGAGAGAGAGACAAAGTGTGAGCGGGGAGGTGCAGAGAGAGAGAGGGAGACACAGAATCCGAAGCAGGCTCCAGGCTCCAAGCTGTCAGCACAGAGCCCGACGCGGGGCTCAAAGCCAGGAATCGTGAGATCATGACCTGAGCCGAAGTCGGACGCTTAACCGACTGAGCCACTCAGGTGCCCCATGATGTTTAGAACCTAGAATGCCATTTTGCCACTGAATTTGTAAAAGAGAGGTGAGATACAAGAAATGGTTCTGTATTACTTCAGCAACGTCAGAAGTTAAATAAGGTTTTATGTCTAGTCAGGGGCACCTATTCACGGTATCAAATACCCTATGCGAAAAGAGAGTTCATTTTTAACTACAGATTGTAAAACACATCTTTTACCCATGGTAGAGACAGGCACACTGCATATGTCAACATTCTGGTGCCCGTCGTAGGTTACGTATAGATGTTTCAGGGTGTAGGACTCTAATTTATGAATCTTTTGAGGAATGAAGTGTATATCAACCAACCCAAAGTGCATATAAATCTAAGACCTCAAATGTAAATGGCACAGACTTTACAGTCTAGCAACTTGAATACAGTGTTGAGAACTAGGACTGCAGAGCTCTGGTCACTTAAGTCCATCGAGCTGCTGCCCCAGGAAGCCTGGTGCAGACTCGAGCATGGCTTGCATGGCTTGCTGCAGTGGAAGGCCTATCCTCAGACTGACCCCCAACAACACCCCCCCCCCCAACCACGCAAATGCCCGAGAAAGCTCAACACTACCAGGGAAATGGTCTATTTGCTCTAGCCAACATGGGATGATCAGCCCCTGCGCTCCCTTTCTTGGAGCATTTACTAGAAAGGGCTTATGATTGTGCATAAATGTCTCTCTCCAGGGCCCGAGGGCCGTTCACTGGACATGCAGTCTTTAAGAAGGATAAGGCCTCTGTGTCCCAGCCTCTGTAAGAGGACTCCTGAATTCTCTGCCTGTCTGCTGACAAACGCGGCCAGCCTGGTCACATTTACACTCATCGACCCTTTGTACTTCTTCACCTCTACAATTCTCCTGGGCCCCGTATTCCTCCCTCACTCTCCCCCCTGCACAAATCAGAATGGAGCTCAGCTCTTCCCCCTACAGTCAGGAGTAACAGAACACAATCTGTTCTCACCGCTTTCATGTCTGCCTGTGTTATTCTCTGATGCTTTACATCTGCTTTAAGGCAGTACATAAAGCCATACGATAGGGTCACAGAATTAGTTCTCTTGTTTTTCAACAACATGGTATCATCAACTTGTACAGGAACAAAGACCAAAGGAACACAAAGATCTGTTTATGTGATTTAAAAGCAGTGCCTCAAATAAATGGGAAAACAAAAAAACGACTTCCCTATTTAATGCCATGTACATTATCTTCATTGTAACAGTGATCTAAAACAGAGTTATTACAGCACCTCCTATCTGCTAATGCGAGGTTAAGTGTATACATCTGCCGTCTCATTTGGTCTCCCTAATTCTAGGAGGTGGGTACTATGATTGATGTTATTTCCATTTTATCTCCAGATTTAAGATGAGGAAATGGAAGCTAAGACAGACAAGCACCTGGAACACAGCCAGTAAGCAGCAGGGCCCCAGCTGCAGTGCAGTCTGGGCTCCATCGACTGCATGGCCTCCACCACCACTACACTTTCTTTTTGGCATTTGGCTGAGGGCACCTGTTTATGTGCCCTGGTGGAGAGCTGGAATGAGTTACAAGCAAAGAAACAACATTCCCTACTAAAGACGCTACGAAAGAGCTAGAGGGGGTCTATAAAGTTTTTTTTTACTCCATTTAAAAAATACTTATTTTTTTATTGTGGCAAAATATACATGCCATAAAATTTAGGATTTTAACCATTTTTAAGTGTACGGTTGAGCAGCACTAAGTACATGCACATTATGCTGCACAACTTGGAGAAAAAGAAAAACTACCCCCTGAAAAATATTAAGGAGGAGAAAATAGAATATATTCATCATCTTGGGATGGAGAAAGCCTTTTACAGTCCCGACACTGAGGCCAGATATCACAATGAAAGCTCAGGACGGGAAGATCAAACTATGGCGAGTAATAGTAATGCCATAAGCCAAGTTAGGACTGATGACAAGTGAGAAAAACCTACATCATACATTCAGCACATAAAGGCTCGATCTCTCTTTTTTTAATTTTTCTTTACATATACTTTTTTAAAATTTATGTTGAGAGAGAGCATGCATGCATGCAGGCACATGAGGAGGAGAGAGAGGGTGGGAGAGAGAATGCCAAACTCTTGCACTGTCAAACTCATGACCTGAGCCAAGAGTCAGATGCTCAACCAAATGAGCCACACAAGCGTCCCAAGGATTAATAGTAATAACACTGCTTACACAACAAACTTTAAAAAACTGTATCCCAAAAAGAAAGGTGTAAGACTTAATCTAAAATAGGTAATAAAATATATTTTAAAATACTCAAGCTTACTGATTAAGAAATGTCCATTTGAAACAATGAAATACAACTTTCACGACAGGGGGTTTAAAAATTGATGCCTAGTGAGTGAAGGTATGGGGATATGGACACCTCGATTCACAACCGGTAAGGGCTGCACTGGGATGGCCTTTCTACCCAACCACCTACATTTTACATGTACTTATCCTCTGATCCCAACAATTCCATTTCTAGGCATTTTCTTGAGTAAAAAGTGGGACACATACCGAGGATACTTAAGCGTGGATACTCATGGCAACTTTTTACTGAATTGTAAAAAACACCTAACTATAAATTTATAATAGGAAATAGGAAATTCATAGTAAATAGTAAGTGAATGTTATTTAATAGCAAATAACCTAAATGTCAGTAGAGAACCATAAATTACGAATGAAGAATTATGCTACGTTAATACAAGGGACACTATGTTGCCACTGAAATGGTTGAATCAGGTATCTGAATCAACACTGAAACATAGGCCCTGGAGCACCTGGGTGGCTCAGTAGTTAAGCATCCAACTTTGGCTCAGGTCATGAACTCACGGTTCGGGAGTTCAAGCCCCACGTCAGGCTCTGTGCTGACAGCTCGGAGTCTGGACCCTGCTTCAGATTCTGGGTCTCCTTCTCTCTCTGCCCTTCCCCTGCTCATGCTCTGTCTCTGTCTCTCAAAAATGACTAAAGATTTTTTAAAAATTGAAATATAGGTCCTATATATTAAGCAAAAAAAAAGCAATTTTAAAAATGCATAAATATCCTCCCATTATAGAAATAAACATGTACAGTACATCTACACGCTTCATTTTTTTTATTTCAGAGAGAGAGAGAGAGAGCACAAGCAGGGAGAAGGGCAAAGGGAGAGGGAGGGAGGGAATCTTAAAGAGACTGCACGCTCAGCGCAGAGAACAAGATGGGGCCCAACGCAGGGCTCAACACGAGGCTCAATCCCATGGCTCTGGGATCATGACCTGAGTAGAACAAGAGTCGCAGGCTCAACCAATTGAGCCACCCAGGTGCCCTGACTTACGTGTTTCTTTTCTTTATCAAAAAAAAATTTTTTAATGTTTACTCATTTTTGAGAGACAGAGCATAAGTGGGGGAGAAGCATAGAGGGAGACACAGAATCTGAAGCAGGCTCCAGGCTCTGAGCTGTCGGCACAGAGCCCGACGCAGGGCTCAAACTCACGAACCACAAGATCATGACCTGAGCCGAAGTCAGACGCTTAACCAACTGAGCCGTTCAGGTGCCCCCCAACCCCTCTACACCCCCGCTTACGTTTTTAATGGTGGCTATCTTCAGGTGTGCTGAATTCATCGAAGCCCTTTCATTTTTTTACAGTTACTTCAATTTCTCTTTCAAAAACATTTATAAATTAGCAAAAAATAGAGAAAAATACTTCCATTTAAGAATAATGAGAACATCTAATTTTAGTCTCTCAAGTAGAGATTGACATAGTTTATCCAGGGTACTTTATAAGACCTATGTTGCATAAGATGTTATATAGAAGACCTGTACTAGTTCATAAAGACTTATAATATTCCAATAAAACAACTGGGTTCATGAGGAAGTGCTCCGTCACTGCTGACCTCTCTATCTCCAACAGCATCTCTTCTTCTAGGTGTTGTTCTTCAATAAAAGCATCCTCCTCCTCCTTCTGTGAGAGTCCTAAGGGAATTTAAATGTTTTATTAAACGATCTGAATATTGTAAAACCTTGGTCAATGATTCAGAAAGAAAAAAGAAGATAAAATCTAATCTTTACAATTATGGTACGAACCTGTTTTTAAAGCCTTCTAATAATAAAGGCTCTAACAATAAAGGCTTCAACCAAATTTGGAACAATTTTGATACCCAAAAAGAACAATAATGGTAGATAACACATTAAATTAAAAAAACTAATTGATGCTTCCATAGTGATACTCAAAAAGGAGGCGGGGTGTGAGAAGGAACATTCATCTTTACAGAAGAATGGCAACGAAAAAAATGTTGAAAGACTTAAGTAGTAAAGCCATCATTTTTGCAACCCTCACTGTAAGAACGATTTAGAAAAAAATGCTGGCAACACTGGATGAAAGCTTGTTGGCAAGAAATCTATTTATACCATTTTGAAACATGAGCGCACAGATAAGTACTAATTAAAGGGGGAACACCCTTTACAATGGAGCCATCTGGTTGGTGACACTTTGACCACTCCTAGCATTACTAAGAGGGGAACGATGTGACATCACAGGCCCCCTGATGGGTGCAGTGACAGCTATACAGCATCAGCTTTGTATTATTTGCCACAAGGAGTGTAACTGTAAGCTAATCAAAAGATGTGCCAATCCAGAAGGAGGGCATTACACCAGCCAACTACCGTGGCCTTTTCACAATAACCAGTTTTGGATTGGGAATGTTCCAGTATGGCTAGTATATCACAACTGAAGTATTGTTCCTTTACTTGGCTACAAGTTTGATATTGTGGTCTTTATTCTTAGGAGATGCAGGATGAAGTATTTAGGGGTGAGAGGTCATGATATCTGCAACTGATATGCAAAGAGTTCAGAAAAAATGTATGCCTATGTATCCATAAAGATCAAGAAAAAGTATAGCAAAGTGTTAACAACTGACAAATCTAGATGAAGGGTTCATGGAAGTTTATTGCAACATTTTTTCAACTTTCTGTACACTGGAATATTTTCAAAATAAGAACGTGGGAGAGTGTTCTTCATATAATAAAAACTCATATCCTTTCCTATTCAGAATTTAAATCTGAGGAAAAAAAAAAAAAAGAGGAAAGCTGAAGTAATCCTAAGGAAATATAACAGAAGATCTCAGGCTTAAAGGAAAAAGATTTTGTATCTCTCACACATATATTGAGTAGAGGTCTAATCAGAGGCACACCCAGTCCTAGATAATTTACTTAAGCAACTAAAATTATTATTTCAGCACCTGAAATTAAAATAAGTAAAAAAAAATTAGGGTAAGTCCTAACTCACACAGAATACTATCAGATTATTCAGATTATTAAATGATCTAATGTACAGGGAGGGCCTTCCAGAGAACCTGGCACCAGGGCTATGACTGATTGCCTTACAGACATATGCCCTCAGAGCAGACATTGCCTGGGCACAGATGATGCTCAAAATCCTGTTGCCTGACTCCCTCAACCCCTCGATACTCCCCAAATCAAGCTCATACTCCTCACAGGTGATCATCACTAACAGTGCCAGGTGTAGCGTTTGTTCTCTATGTGCAATCAAATATATGCAAGGATATATATAAATATAGTAGATCTAACTGTATTATACATGTAACTATATACACTGGAATGAGACAATTTGCTTTTTATTCTTAATGTCACCTTAGTTTCTGACAAGGCAGCTCATTTCAGGCTATTTCGAGTAGAGATGGGTGCTAAAGAGGCTTTCTGTAAATGAGAGGTCAATATTCCAGAAATTTCCACCACTCAGTTTCCAACTCACTCTCACAGCAATTCTTACAGAATATCTATTCTAGCCTTCTGGGTATTTGTGCATCCAATGTGTGCTACAATTAACAGCAGTGTTTGGTAGGCCACGCTATTCATGAAGCGCCACTAATTAGGAGTTGGAGTGGGCCAAAGTAGGGGCAGGAGTCCAAAGATGAGTGCTTAGTCTTGGATCTGCCATTAGCTATATAATCCTGACCAAACCAGTGACTGCATCCTTCAAATGATTGAACTGCCAAAGCACATGACCAGCTTGCCTCTCCACAAAGGCTCACTCTGAAAGCACTTTGCTAAGTCAAAGGGGGGAAAAATCAACACAATACAAACAACAGCTCTAGGATTTAAAACAGGGAAAGCAGATTAAGAAGTTTAAAAAAAAAAAATTATGTTGGAAGAAAACAGGTTAAGTAAACAAGGTAATGTAGCTGAGATCCTTAAGGGGGTGGGGGTGGAGTTACACCAGTAACTCCAACCTACCCTGTTTTTCCTTTTCATCCCTGATGCTTTATCCTACATCTTGTGCTTCAGTCTTGAATGAATAAAAGAGATGCTAACCTAGGTTGCAGGTAAACACCCCACTCTTCACATTTTAAATATTCCAATATTGTTACTAAAATAATTACTGGGCAACTCCAATGGTAAATAAAATGTCTAAAGCTATGCTTCCCAAGGCCAGAGAGTCTTAGTTCCTTGAGGCCATTGCGGTGGACTACAAGAATCGTCTAGCTACATTTCTGCAATATATCCAAATGTGAAATCATTACATCTTACCTGTAAAATACATCTATCAATTATAACTCAAAAAAAAAAAAAAAAGAATTGTCTGACTAATCAGTACTGTGTTATATGATTTTTAGAACTAACTTAGTACTATTTTCATTGTATCAAGCAGGCAGGTTTAATATATAAATGTTAGATTCTGCTATGTGAAGGACAAATGACACTACAGCCAGGATAGATGAAGGTGCCACAGTATTTTAATAGGAAAAAACAAACAAGCAAACAAAAAAAAAAACCCTGGTAAATAACCACAAGGCAACAGTAGTAATGGCATTCCACACAATAGGAACCGTATTCATGCTGTAAGCTTGTTTCACATCATCCCTAACATCACATTAATGTAGATTTGAATTTTTCTGGATGTGTAATTTCACTAGGTTTTATTACCCCTGAAGATATTGTTTGATAGTCAAATTAGAGCTTCATATCTAGTGTTATGCTTATATATATTTAAATGACATTAATAACAATCTGAGTCGACAAAGCGTCTCTTGTGTTAAGTTTGAGAAAAATTTGTAAATGTCTAAACCCCTCGAGTCCTGCTGGTTTACAAAGGAAAATATTCACCGAATACTTACTATGTGCAAGGGCTGTGCTAGCTGCTGTAATTCATGATGCCTGCACCTGTAATATTAGATACTTCATAAATACTTACACGTAATCAGAGGTGACTCACCATGACCTTTCCCCCCCCTTTTTCAGGATGTTAACATCGTTTCTGAAGTGGGTCTAGGCTAACTTTACTTGGAAGGCAGTAGCCACAGTAATTTTTCAGCGGACACGGCACTCGGCTTCCTTCTGGCACTAGGGCTTCAAGCGAGGACGGGAGCGGAGAGAGCAAATTCTTACACAGAAAACAGGCTGAGGCATCGGTTACCTGAGTCTCTCAATCGAGCGAGTTCCTGCCGCCGTTTCTTTCGTTTCTCCTTCTTCAGGGCAGCTCTGTACTTTTTGTGGCTGGAAGACAGAGACGCGCACCCGCCAGCATCAACTGACTGCACCTGCCGCGCTGCCCGAGTTCTCCCCGCCCGCGCCGCCACCTCTGCGCCCAATGACAGACAGCAAATCGCTCGGGTGCCCGGGAGTGCAATCTTGCTTCCCGTGTTTTAACCACAGAACACGGACTTACTATCGCCTCGCCACTCCACAAGCAGGCGCCAGGTCTCTTCCATCCCGCCACCTGGTCCCCTCCTCACCTCCCTGGACCCACGGACGCCGGTGACACTCTGGGGCGCGCCCGAGCGGCCACGGTGGCTCGTACCTGGCCCGGCTCCCCTCTCCTTCCTGCCTACACATCCTCCAGGTCCAGCCTCGGCCAGCTGTGCCCTCTTCTCAGCTCATCTCCCCCAGTCCAGCCTACCTTGGCTTCTCCGGAAACATTATCTTCCCGGGCGCCGCCATGTTACCAGGGCAGCCACGCCCCTACGAGCTGGCCGGAAGGGGCCGGCTTACGAGAAAAGGAGCGGCCGCGCGCAGGCGCAGGTCCCTCGAGGCGTCCCGGCGGAACAAAGACTGAAGGCGGCTCGAGGTGGGGGGGGAGGGGAGGGGTTCCGATAGGCGGCCGGTCTTCCAAAATTGCACAAAGAAATGTGTCTTTCCCGAAAATTCCTACCGCTCCCTGAAAGTAACTCTAACCTCCTGGCGTTTCCCCAGTAGTATCACTACCTCCTCCCACACCACAGTGGGGTGTCTTGTGGCTAGGACGATTAAAGTTACCCTTGGCTGTCTCATGTCCTCCTCCCCACACGAAACTTCGTTCCAGGCACAGTCGGTCGCCGCCCTTTGCAGGCCGACCGACTGTCCGGGCACCGCCTTCTTCTGCGGTCCCGCCTATAAGCCCCTCAGATAAAGCGCCAGATTCCGCCCCCTTCTAGTCACACCTCCCACCTCTGTAGGGGAATCTAACACCTGGCCTGCAAAGGCATCATCTTTGCTCCAAAGGAATGTGCATTCTAGAGGCAGAGAAGCAACAAATACATAGATAACATAATATGGTACAGGCAACTGAAGTCACTTAACACAGTCCACCTGGGGATTCAGGGAGACCGTTCTGATGCCTGAGTTTTAAAGGAACGTAGCCTTTACCCAGGTGAAGGGTGGGATTCCCAGGTGGGAATGGTAAATCAGTATAAGCAAAGACACTGAGGGATGAAACAACGTGGAATCGGCCAGACCCGCAAGAATTTTGGCCATCGAATTTAAAGGCAAGTTCGAGAGTTATCAAGGGACACAGCAGTAGAGGTGGGCTGGAGCTGGGTTACGGAGAAGGGCCATGCTAAGAAGCTTTAATTACGTTCTGTAGGCAACAGGGAGCCACCGAAAGCTTTTAGGTTGAGGTCTGTCATCATATTTGTGTTTTAGGTAAATTACTCCGGTTTGTGATACAAAGGATAAAGCTGGAATATCACAGCCGAGATGAGGCAACAAGAGTAGGATTGATAAAGTAAAATGAGCCGTGCTAATCATCGGACTGTGAGGTACATCTACAAGGCCAGAGACCAAGTAAAAACTGCTTCTCTTGAGGACGTACTGCAGCGGCAAAATTATGAACAACCCCCATCTTTCTAGTGATTGGATAACTTCCTTGGCCTACCTTTGTTCCTCTCTCCTCCAAATCAAAATCACCGAGCTACCCAATTACTAAAGTGTCCCTGCTTCTCCTAGCCCTTCCCAGGAATCATTCAGCAGACACCCAATGCCCAAACTGCATAGACCCTTGCCCTGCTCCCTCTTACGGACACACTTGGAGTAACACACCTCCAAGCTGACCTTGTCCAGCTCAGTGCATCTGTAATTAATCACAGGCTTGGGAGTTGGATAGACTGGGAAACTCCAGCCTCGGCTCTCTGATTTTGAGTAAACTCCGGAATGTCTAGTCCTTGTTTTTCTCATCTATAAAAACCAAAGTCGTGATAATAGTTCCCAAATGCATGCTTTATGTTGGCATAGTGCCTCGCAATAGTGTTTCTGACACATCCGCTCTTCTATCATCATCCCTGTGAAAACTCCTGTCCTCTCAAGAGTGGGTTGGTACCTGTCCTGCGTATGCTCCTAGCTCAAGGATTTCACCTTTTATACCACCGCTCACGCTATATTCTACTTTGTGGCCTTCACAAAGCTGCTGCTTGCACTAAACCTTAAACTCCTTGAAGGTGGGGACTTGGTGATTATAGCCCCTAACTGGAGAATGCCCTGACTGGCAAAAAATGCAGCTGTACAAATGAGCAATTTTGCTGGTTCCTGCGACCAGGACTTATGCTGCCATTCTGAAAGTGTCGCCGTCTGGGTTGTTGTTTGGACTGCTGTAACATTTCTCATGAGTTAGACCAGACTTTCATGTGACAGCAGTAAGAATGTCTCCTATGAAGATGCTCCTATTAAAAAAGAATACAGATTTAGATTTTATTTTTAAAAAATTTTAATGTTTATTTTTGACAGAGAGAGAGAGAGAGAGAGAGAGAGAACATGAGTGGGGGAGAGGCAGAGAGAGAAGGAGACATACAGTCCAAAGCAGGCTCCAGGCTCTGAGCTGTCAGCACAGAGCCGGACATGGGGTTCGAATTCGTGAACTGCAAGATCATGAGCTGAGCCGAAGTTGGATGCTTAACCGACTGGGCCAGCCAGGCGCCCCTAGATTTTATTTTATTATGATTTACAAATGAACATAAATCTCCCTTTGTAGGAGTTAGACATTTATCCTCAACAATTCACCCCTGAATTCATGTTCATGAGCAAGCTTGAATTGCTCAAATTAACTTCATTACAGAAATTATTCTAAAAGCCAATTTCATTTCAAACTATAGTTACCCACATTTGAATTCAATAAGAGATCATAAGCTAAAAATAAGGTATGTAAAAATTTAATGCAAAGGTACATTCTACTATAATATCCTGATAAATAGAACAAAGTTATATCTTTATTCTGCAACATAACATGTACTTTTCTTGGTTCCTGACATGCAATATCTACTTATTCTCAGGTATGTACATTGCAGTTTATTCCCCATCTATGGGAAAACGCCTAAATTTTAATTTTACATCATCAGTAGAAAATAGATGATTGTCTTCAAAAAGTCAAAGGTTTTTTTTACTTATGTGGATACTGTAATAGATAATGTGATTAGTACATATGAATCTTAGTTATTGTAAGAGGACCAAAGAATGATCCATAAATGTATCTCACATTTATTGCAAGCATAAAGAGAGAGCAAGAAAAAAAATGTCTACTCTCTGAAAGCCAGGTTGGTACTCTTTCAACTTATTTGGTTTTTTCTTGCTCTAGTAGGACTATGGTACGAGGATTCATTGAATAGTCAATGCAGAAATTCTCAGGAAAGAACATTTCATTTCTCACCTACCATTAATTTCAGTATCAGTCACCAGATTTACTCAGGGACATATAATGGGATCTCAACTCCTCTCTGACCATCATTGCTATACCAAGGGCTTTATATATTTTCCAGACTACAGTTATTACCTACGATACTAAAATATTTAATGTATATTAACATGAAAAGTGCATGCAAATCTGTATTTGTACAACTGATCAAAAGAGGGACGAACTATGCAGTGATAGTGCTTATTACTCAATTCTTTTCTCTGGTGATAAGTTGTAAGCAAAAAACTGCTGATGTTTTGAGAAAATGTGGCAGAGTCCCTATATGCACCCAGGACCCAAACCAAAGTACTATTTCTGAAGAGTGGTTGAACTCATAAAGCAAGAATCAAAGTGTACTTGGGGATGGCAAGGGTCTTAGTCTCTTTGGGTTGTTTATTTCTCACAGTTCTAGAGGCTGGAAGGTCAAGATTAAGGTGCCAGCAGAGTCAGTGTCTGGTGAGAACTTCCTTTACTGGCTCATTGATGGCCATCTTCTTGCTGTATCCTCACATGGCAGAGGGGTGAGGGAACTCTCTGGGGTCTCTTTTATAACGGTACTAATCCCATCATGAGGCACCACCATTATGACCTACTGACCTCCCAAAGGCCCCACCTCCTAATACGATCACACTGGAAGTTCAGATGTCATCCTGCGAGTTCGGTGGGGGGAGGGACATAAACATTCAGTTCCTAACAAGGATGCGTTACTATTTATATGTAAAGAAGCCATTATTGTTTAGATGTACTCATCATATGGTAAAATTAGAGCCTATTTGCTTAAAAAATGGGGCAGAAGAAGCGGGGAAATAGTGGGGAGAGGGAGACAGGCAAACCATGAGAGACTCTTGAATGCTGAGAACAAACTGAGGACTGATGGGTGTGGGGGGGTAGGGGGGGTGATGGGCATGGAGGAGGGTACTTGTGGGGATGAGCACTGGGTGTTATATGGAAACCAGCTTGACAATAAACTATTTGTAAAAAAAAAAAAAATGATATCCATTTTTCAGAAGTAAAATTTTATGGGAAAGAATTTAACCAAGAAAGTTGAATTAAAAAGACAATAAAATGTCAAGTTGGAAGGTATGAATTCAGTAAATAATGTTGGTTCTTCGGGTGACACAGAAAAATACCTAAAATGATTACAATACTGTAATTTTGCTAGCATACCAAAAGAAATGTGTCCCCCAGTGAGCAAGGGAAAGATATCTTCCTAAACTTTTTTGAGGTGGATGCCTGCTTTCAGAATAGGCCACTTTACCCTAATCCATGTAGCCCCAGAGAGGAGAAAAGGATTGGCCGTCTCTGGGGGTGATGTTAGCGCATTGTGCTCTGCTCTGACAGAAAGGGTGAGCTGAAGAGGGGGTGGTTTGTTTGTTTCCTGCTTTTCCGATGAATGATGAATCCCTTACGAGTCTTCCAGTCACTTTCTGATCTACATGGTAAAGGATGTCTCGCTAATTTTACAGACATCTTACATAACACACACACACACACACACACACACACACACACACACAAACTGATAGGAACAAAAAGCATTTTGACAAATGTTAATATTGTAAAGAAAGGGTTTTATTACAGTATTTAATGAAGATAAGCAGCAATGTTAATACAAAATTCTTTCTCAAGCCCATTTTCCTAAACAGGAAGGGACAAGTAAAACACTTTAGGAGGCACAAAGGACACAAATTTTCCCGTGAGGGTGTATCAGTAGTCCCAGAATCTGCGACGCCCCTTTGGAGGTCATATGACTAAGGCATGGAGAAAAAAAACACACGTCCCAAGGCGGCTTCCATATAACCTCTGCACAGAAGGTGACCAAAAGTTGATCATGCAAACCAGGACATGGTTGCGAGTGACAGGGTGCTGTTAATAATCACACCACAACACCAGGTGCAGGTGAATCAGGAGTGGCAGGCCGGGACACACCCAATAAAGACATCCTTTGTAGCTCTAAGAGCAAGGGCAAGTCGGGCAGAAGTGCGCTGGCTCTCACTCCAATTTGGAAGACTCATTGCAATAGAATTTTGCACAAAGACTTTGTGAGAGGCCTAGGGGGGAAGCCCCTGTGCTCTGGAAAATGCCTATCGTGTGCGTTTACCCTTTTAAAGGTAACTAGAGTTTGAAGAGATCAATTAGATAAAGTTACCATAAACTTTTCCCCTTACATTTATCTTTTTAAGAATTTTATTCGGGGCGCCTGGGTGGCTTAGTCGGTTAAGCGTCCGACTTTCGCTTAGGTCATGATCTCGCGGTTTGTGGGTTCGAGCCCCGTGTCGGGCTCTGTGCTGACTGCCAGCTCGGAGCCTGGAGCCAATTTCAGAGTCTGTATCTCCCTCTCTCTCTGACCCTCCCCTGCTCATGCTGTCTCTCTCTCTCTCTCTCTCTCCTAGGAATAAATTAAAAAATATTAAAAAAAAAAAAAAGAATTTTATTCATTTTCTTCCCAGAAAAGGCATGCACTCTTGAAGGAAATGCCTTCACCCCCTCTTTTAAAAAATTTATTTATTTATTTATTTATTTATTTATTTATCTGTTTGTTTATTTTTTACAGATAGTGCGATCGTGGTGGGGGGGCAGAGAGAGACGGAGAGAGAGAATCTTAAGCAGGCTCCACGCTCAGTGTGGAGCCTGATGCAGGACTTGATCTCATGAACCGTGAGATCATCATGACCTGAGCTGAAATCAAGAGTCTGATGCTTAATGGACTGGGGCACCCTGGAGCCCCCTCTCCCTTTTTTAATAGCAGGTTTTCCCCTGAAACTTACATATATGACTCCAACCCTCTTTTTTTTTCTACTGAATGTATTATTTATATATAACTGTGTTAAAATACATATAAAATCTCCTATCTTAACCTTTTTCAGTGTATCATTCAGTAGTGTCAAGTCTACTCATCCAACCTTGCAGATCAGATGACCAGCATACTAATGGAAGAAATATCACTAGTAAATGCAATATTGAGTTTGAACACAGGCTTAGAGGCAACGAGAAACATTCCAAGTTATTTACAAGCAAAGGCAACAATGGCATGGATTCCCCAAAATACGTAGAATTCTGTAGATTTTAGCCTGTTAATTTTCTCTCCTTACTACTGTAGCGGAGGTCATTTAAACCATTACATTAACTGAAGATTTATGTTGAGCACATGCCTTACACAGAACCTCAACTAACGGAATAAAGTTCAGGCAGTTTTCAAGGGAAAGCAAGATAGTTCTGTCATTGTGGAAAATATTATATTCTATGAAACAGTGTACAAACAACGTAAAATAACAGTATAAACTATAGACTGTTATATTAATAGTCTTTTGAAAAAGATTTCTCTAAATAAAGCATGAAAGAATGTTAAATTCTAGGAACTTCAAGCATTTTCCTTAAAATGTTCTGCATATGCTTTCTATATGGTCGGGTCTTGAAGTAAAATATTTGATCTTCAGACATGCACAAGGATTCCCGGTTATAAGTAAATTCTTGTTTTCTTAGAACTACAAAATATTTTTCTAGGTCGTAAATTGATAGTAGGTAAGTAAGTATGTCATGTATGAGGGATAACAACTAAAGATCGGGCAAATATACTCGTTGAGAAGGCCTTATAAAAGAATATACATTCAGATTTTGAAATGAAATATCCCTAAAACCATGGTTATGTTCAGCTAGCCAGGAAGTACCAGTCTGGGCCTTGGGGCCCTTTCTGAAAGGCCTACGTTCTTGATGGTCAGTGTCTGTGCCTCACCAGTGTTCAATATTTTGATTACCATCCCTACTTATAACTCTATAGAGTTACTAACTAATAAACACAAGAAGACAACTCAGAAATATCAGACAGAAAAAGACATTGCAATTACCAACAGGTCGCTGTAGGATAAACTTGTGTCTCTTACTGCTACGTCAGTGTTAAACATCATTATCGATAAAAGTTAAGAACTTATTTACCAAAGAGCTTTCCTCAAAGGCTGAAGGAACACGGCCACACCAAGAAATGCGCATCAACAATTATTATTAAAGGCAGGCGTGTAGAATAGTCCAGTTAGCAATCTCTAAAAAGCTATTCATTAAAGCAAAGTACCGCCTAGATAATGAACGTCCTAGGAAGTCGCTTGGCTAGTCGAGGGCTGGGGTTTCGCCTGTATATTCAGTACATAATCATGACGGAAGGAAGAGCGGACAGTGCGATTCATTAGGGGCTGAAGGGGGCGGAAATTGTCCACCATTCTTTTCTCTTTCTCCCCCTCTGAAGTGAAAAGCAGGGTCCGAAACTGCTCAAGCTAGAAATAGAAGTAGGGAAGCGTAAATGATTTCCGAAGAGTAACAGTTTAACTTCACGAATAAATTACTTTCATGTTTACAATTCTGAAACATTCCTCTAAAACTGGATACAGAACAACTTATTGCTGGTTAGGAATGCCTTCGCCACTACACAGGCAATAAAATGTATGAGGAGGGGAGTAACAGGAGGTGGTGAAGCCAATGGGGTACTTGGAATCCAAAGGCTGGGGGGTCAAAGGCTCTGTCCCCCCAACATTAGCCAATTGCCAAGGACAGGTTTTCATCTTTGATTCCAGAAACCTCATCTTTAAGTGGGCAAAATAACTAGCCTACAGGATACTACAAGGAAGGTCTGATGTATATAGTAACAGTACCAAAATGTTTAATTTTTTCAAAATGTAACTGAATCATTAATATAAACAATGTATTTTTTTAATGCTTTATTTATTTCTGAGAGAGAGAGAGAGAAAGACAGCATGGGCAGGGGAGGGTCAGAGAAAGAGGGAGATACAGAATCTGAAATAGGCTCCAGGCTCTGAGCTAGCTGTCAGCACAGAGCCCGACGTGGGGCTTGAACCCACGAACCGTGAGATCATGACCTGAGCCGAAGCCGGGCGTTCAACCGACTGAGCCACCCAGGTGCCCCAATATAAACAATGTATTCTTCATTGCTTACTGTACCTGGGCATTGTGGGGAAGGCGGTATGTATGGATGTCTTCTTTTTTTAATTTAAGTTTATTTATTTATTTTTGAGAGAGACAGAGAGCAAGCAGGGGAGGGGCAGAGAGAGGGAGAGAGAGAGAATCCCAAGCAGGCTCCATGATATCAGCACAGAGCCCAATGTGGGGCTTGAACTCACAAACTGTGAGATCATGACCTGAGCTGAAGCTGAGAGTCGGACACTTAACCAACTGAGCCACCCAGGCACTCTTCATATGGATGTCTTCTTAACAGGCAGTGGGATGCCCCCCGCCAGCACTGTCCAATAGAAGTTTATGTAACGACAGAAATGTCTTCTGCATGACTCGTTATAGTAGCCACTAGCCACATATGGCTACTGAGTGCTTGAAACGTGGCCAGTGCAACTAAGGAACTGAATTATTTACTTACTTATTGAAAAGTTTATTATTTATTTTTTAGAAATCTCTACACTCAACGTGTAGATCAAACTCACGATCCCAAGATCAAGAGTCACATGCTCTAATGACTGAGCCAGCCAGGTATCTCGGAACTCAATTTTTAATTTAATTTTTATTTTAATGTGTTTATATTTCAACGTAAATGGGCACATGCTGCTAGTGGCTCATGGATTAGACAACACAGCTCAGTACAAATAGGAGCAACCCCAAGTCAAGGGCTTGTTCTCTAATATGGCAGTGGCGTCATTCGCCCCCACCCCCACCCCCCGGCTTTCTGAGCATCCTTACTATGGAACACTTGACTTCAAGCCCGCTGTAAAATCTTTTCACAACATTTCTTCTCACTCAGTCAGGCACACTGTGGCTTCGGAGAGGACATCCTGGGGCACAGTAGACAGGCATGTGAACATGCGTTTGGATCAAAGACTTCAGGCCAAGTAGAGCGGCAGGATCGTGACCGGGGGCGAGCGGCAAACATAGGGACCTACTTGCAAATTATGCGTATAGCCTCAGAAATTAAGAATGTGTCCAAGTACTTAAGATTATTTTTATTCAACTAATTGCAAAAGATTAGAAATCGCTCAAGTATCAGTAAGTTCCATTAGATCTATAAAATGGACTAGTACATAGCCATTAAAAGTGACTTTGAAGATAATGTTTATTATCGATAAAACGTTTCACAGATCACTGAGTGAAAAGAGGAACAAAATGGGATGTACAGAATGATTCCATTGGGTTAAGAAAATTGTGTCTATTTATATAGATAAAAGACCAAAAGGATTTATGTGTATCTGTATAGACACACAACCAGAAAGATTTACCCAAACAATGACTAACACGGATTATAGGTGACTAGGATTACAGAGGACAGCTGACATTTTTGTCTTACTGAATTTTCTGTGTAGAGATTTCATTTGAAAATTCCTCACATGAGCCACTGACCCTGTGATTTATTTATTTTACTGATTTATTTTTCAGTGTTAGGTTGATTTTTCATGTTTATTTTTGAGGGGGGGGGGTAGCGAAAGAGCGAATAAGCACAGGGGAGGGGCAGAGAGAGAGGGAGACACAGAATCGGAAGCAGGCTCCAGGCTGACCGCACAGAGCCCGATGCGGAACTTGAACCCACGAACCATGAGATCGTGACCTGAGCTGAAGTCAGACACTGAACTGACTGAGCCAGCCAGGCGCTCCTGTGTTAGGTCAATTTTTAAATATGAAGGATAAACGCAGACTAAACATATAGGTCACCAAGCCCAGGCTTATGAACAGGTCAGCTCTATGTTTTGTCATTTGTTCTTGGTGGCTTTTAGCACACAGATTTTTAAAAATTATGTGGTCTGGGTGTTATGTGGAAACTAATTTGACAATAAACAATTTGTAAAAAAAAAAAAAAAATTATGTGGTCTAATTTACTAGTTGCTTTCTTTATGACTTCTGGTTTTGATATAGAGTGAGAAAAGCTTCCTCCATTTGGAGGTATAAAAAGATTTTCCTATGCCTGTCCTAGCAATTTTATGGCAGCATTTTTAACATTTAATATATGTGGAATATATTCCTGCGTAAGGTGTGAATGGTGGATCTAATTCTTCTCCCCCAAACGCCTGCCCAGTTGTCCCTACATTAGCATTTACTGAAGAATCTCATCTTTTCCCCCTGTTGAGATGTACCTTTATCCCAAAGTAAATTCTCATATGTACTTAGACGTATTTCCAAACTTCGCGCTTTCTTCCGTCCAGTGATCTCTTTGTGTGCCAGTACCACACTATTTAATTATTACGACTTTATAACTTTGTAGATCTAATCATCCCTCATTTTCTCTTTCAGAATTTTCCCTGGCGATTTATGCTTGTTCATTTTGCCACATGATTTTAGAAGGAGCACATCTATCTAAAACTCCTGAACTGGCATAGTAAAAGAACCACCTCAGGTTTATGAAGAATAAACAAGTAATGGATAACAAGTCAGGGGAGACTGACATCAAAGATATGTTTATGGTGTCTTCTGATTCAGTAACATGGTATAAAATTTATGAATTCTTCTTTTGGGTCCTTCACAGATATTTTAAGTTTACTTGTTAAATTTTCTTATTAAGCTTATTCCAAGGCATTTTATATTTTTGTTTCCATCATAAGTAGTGTTCATTCTTCCATTATAACTTTATATCATTACATCCTTTAACTGACTGTGATTTATATATTGTGATATGTAGATTTATATATGCTTTAAATGTACTGATTTCTAGGGGCACCTGGGTAGCACAGTTGGTTAAACATCCAACTCTTGGTCTTGGCTCAGATCATGATCCCACAGTTCCTGAGTTTGAGTCCCGGATTGGGCTCTGTGCTGATGGTGGGGAGCCTGCTTGGGATTCTGTCTCTCTTTCTCTCTGCCCCTCCCCAGCTTTGCGTGTGTGCACGCTCTCTCTCTCTCTAACAAATTTAAAAAACCTTAGAAAAATGTATTAATTTCTATAAATTAATGTTATACTCCACTCATTACTGAACTACCTTATTTTTGATGTAGTTTTTATTGTTTCTCTAATTGATTTTTTCTTTTCTGGTCTAATTGTATTGGCTACTTCCAGAACATAATACAAAATTGTATATGGTAACAATTCTTTCCACGTGAAACATACTATTTGCTTCTGAACTGAGATCAATCTCTCTTTATCAAGTTAGGGAAATCTCCATTCATTTCTATTGTATTTAAAAATTTAAAACACTGAACAGTACATTTTGCTAATGCCTTTTAACAATATATGGAAATGATTACGTGATTTTTCTATTTAGATCACTGATATGATGAAGTATGTTAATATCATTCCTAATAATGAGCCATCCTTGCTTTACTGGAATATATACTACTTGGTCAAAATGTGTATATTTCTTCTAATGTGCTGCTAGCTTCTGTTGCTCATATGTTACTTTTGCTTTCTTTAAAACATATTCTTCAGAGATATCAATGTTTAGTTTATTTTTATTTTTTGCTTAACATTTGAGGGGTGTTGGTATCTGTTATCTCGGCATCGTAAAAAAGATTTTGGAAGCTTTTGCTCTTGTGAAAGTGCCTTGTAATTAATAAAAATCCCAAAAAGCAAGCTTAGACAAGTATTATTAGAGTTTAAATTACAAATTAAGCAGGATTTTGTGCATTGAAGTAGTAATTACCACTTAAACTTACTTTTTAAAGAGAAAGTAAACTCCGAGTTCAAAACAACTGACTTAAAATTTATGGACAGACACTGGTGGATTCTGTCCTTATCCTGAGGTTCCAGAGCAAAATTTCCTTTAGGATTTTTTTAACTTATTTAATTTCTTTGAGGGAAACCGCATGTAAGTGGGGGAGGGAAAGAGAAAGAATCCCAAGGAGGCTCTGCATTGTCAGCACAGAGCCCAATGTGGGGCTCGAACTCATGAACAGTGAGATCATGTCCTGAGCCGAAATTAAGAGTTGGACACTCCACCAACTGAGCCACCTAGGCACGCCTCCTTAAAGATTTTAAAGGATTTTGAGTACACCCATCTTCAGCCTTCATTCTTCCCTTTAAAAGGGACTTGTTTATAAAGAGATTCATATTTATATATAAAATACACAATGCATACGACATATGTCATTGCCAAATATGGAAGTAAAAGGCTATGTTTCCTAAATTTTAACTGTTCTCTCTAGTTGGTTTGAAGAATTCCCTAATTCATATCCAAATTTGAAGACAAGATGTTAGCACATTTTAATAAAAATGTAGAAGCATTACGAGATGCTAAAAACTGATGCCAAAATTTGAGCCCAGTCTCGTTTTAAAGAGGGGAGACTAGCATGTGCTCACACAGAAAGGTGGAAAGAACATACCTGATCATGATCAACCTCTACGGGCTGCTTCTTAATGATCCAGGTGACAGACTCGGAGAGTGGCGGGGTAGTCAGGGACCCCGAGTAGGTCCAGTAATCTGGGCAGGCGGGCATCAGGCAGGCAGGATCAAACGAGCCAAACTCCACAAGGGTGTCCTGGTAAAGAGAAGGGGTCACTGAGCCATCATTTTGTGGTAAAAATCACTCAGAAATCAGATGAGGAGGCTATGATTCTAGGGGAACCTGGGGACCAGCAGTGGTCTAGAGTATCTCTGGGCACCTTAGGACAGAATCACACCTGTGACTGCTCCTGTAATTAACTATGTATTTCTGATCGTCCTCCATGGGAACACAGCCAAATCCAGGTCCTCCCTCCACTGTCCTGAGTGCGGGCCTCCTCTGAGCTCTCCGGGAGGCGTTACGTGGTAGCCGGTGCACGAAGAACGAGGAGAAACGTTCAAGAGAAACGAATAGAATTCTCCTTTCTAAAACACAATGCAAACTAGCAGGAGCCAGGCTCCCGGACTAAGAGGGGAGAGAGAGAGGGGCAAGGAAACAGGGAGACAGGGAGGGAGGGAGAGGGAGAGAGGCAGTGGGGGGGGCTGGGGCAGGGGGGAGCAGAGGGAGACACAGGGAAGATGAGGGCCGCCAGGGAGCAGCCCCTCCGGGACTGTCAGGCAGGAACAGCTAATGCTGGGGCCTGGACGAGGCGTCCGTGCTGGCGGGTAGGGGTGACCGCTCCTCCCGGCTAGCCCAGCCAGGTGTCCGTCCCACTCTCCCCTGCTCCCTGCCTGCGGGACGGGAGGTCCAGCCAAGAGGCCTGCTCTGAGTGTCCCCACGGGCACTCTGAAGGCGCAGGTGTCGGGGGCAGAGGAGGGGACGGCCCGAGCGCAGTCCCCGAGCTCGGTGGCGGGGCAGCAGAACCAAGGTGGTCAGCGCGCACCTAACCGAGAGTCACTTCTGTCCCCTGGAGGGGTCCCAGCGGGGGGCGGGGCAGGGCTCTCTCAACACACGCATCGCAAGTGGCAAGCTGTCTTCCGGGACAGTTTTCAAAGCGCCTTGTCAATGTCTCCACTCTGAGGTTAAACACAAAATGCATTCCAAGTGATTTAGGAGGGAAAAGTTACCTTATGCTTGATGGATGGCAAAGTATCCACCAATTTCTGCAGCTCTTTGTGCTGTTTTCCTAGCTAAGGAAGAAGCAATGAGAAAATATTAAAAACAACTGACATCTTACTTTTGATATCAGAACAGAATAAAATTAGCCACCTGGTGATTACATATAAACAAACTAATCACACTACCTAAACTACACTTAAACTGGCAATTTAGATTGCTATAAACGTCACTGAATTAAATTAGACACAGAACAAATGAGCAAGCTGTGTGCTGACAGGGTCAGTGTGCCTGCAGGCAAAGGTGTCCCTGCTCCATTTCAGTATCAGTTCGTAGGGCGCCTGGGTTGCTCTGTTGGTTGAGCGTCCGACTCTTGATTTCGGCTCAGGTCATGATCCCAGGGTCATGGGATCCAGCCCCGTGTCAGGCTCCATGAGGAGCATGGAGATTGCTTAAGATTCTCTCTCTCCCCATGTCCTCTGCCCCCTCCCCTATTTTACATGTGTGCGCGCGCTCTCTCTCTCAAATAAATAATAAATACCAGTTCTTACATTGAAATTTTATTAAAGTAAAATGAAAAATTGTTCCATAGTCAAGGTAGCCACATTTCAAGAGCTCATTTGCAAAACATGGATTGTTACTACTCTTTTGGACTGTACATTTTTGTTTTGAAAGAGAGAGTTGTGGGAGGGGCAGACAGAGAGGGAAAGAAAGAGAATCCTAAGCAGGCTCCACACTTAGCCACTCAGTGCAGAGCCCGACATAGGGTTTGGTCTCATGACCGTGAGATCATGACCTGAGCCAAAATCAGGAGTTGGACGCTTAACTGACTGAGCCACCGAGGGTCCCCCGGACTGCATTTTTTTTTTTTAAATGTTTTATTTAGAGACAGCATGAGCAGGGGAGGGTCAGAGAGAGAGGGAGTCACAGACTGAAACAGGCTCCAGGCTCTGAGCTGGCAGTCGGCACACAGCCCGACGCGGGGCTCGAACCCACGAACCGCGAGATCATGACCTAAGCGAAAGTCAGACGCTTAACCGACTGAGCCACCCAGGCGCCCCTGGACTGTGCATTTTTGTATCATTTGAAATGTATTCATAGCACTCTCTTATTTTAACCATTGTTCATTTTGTTTCTTTTTTTCTGAAAGTGCAGTAGAGTTGATACACAATTTTACGTTAGTTTCAGGTATACAACACAGTGATTCCACAAGTCAATCGTGAGTTCTTTTAATCCCAATATACTTACATCTTAACGTTACAATTTGTGTCTTTTCATCCCACAATACAACACATCATGTGAAGTTGGTAACTTTCTTACCTTTAAAAATACTCCTATCACAGCCAAGCCATTTTCTTCCAGTGCTGCATCCTCAAAGTTTTCAAATTTGACTGCATTCCAATGGACCAAGTGCAGCTGAAACACCAGTAAGAGATGGTTTGACACATGACCGTGTACAATTGCTCCAAAACAGCCTTGTTCAACCCATAATATTTTAACGTTTCCTCACCCAAAATGAAGCCACCGAGAAAAGCCTACAGCAATGTGGTGCAAAATGAGATAGAAATAAATAACAGGAAGAACTGTATGCAGGAACAGCAATTAACATTACTTCTGAATAGAGGGATTTATTTGGAAAAAAGCAAAAGAAAACAAATACAGCAAAGTGGGTTATACTTCAGGAAGCAAAATGTGTCCCTTCCCATGCTCATTTGCATGAAACCATCATACCCCAAATCTATTTGCATCTAGAGGAGAGATGTTTATATTGAGAGAAGTAGATTCTCCGTATGGGAATTAGACGAGAGCTGAAGATAAATTTCTTTGAGGGATAACCACCTAAAATGTCCTTCTTTTTATGGTAACATTTAAAACTAAATTAAGGAAAAAACTGCAAGAATAAATTATGTTTCCTTAATTGTTCCACGTACTTCCCTACAAATTATTTCTTGTCCATCATTCACCAATGCATCATCATCCAGCCTCCCAAGTAAGACCCTCAAGGTCATGGTTAACTTGCTTCTCTCCTCTCCTGAGTGGACCCTGCCTCCAAGTCCATTATTTCAGAAACGCTTGTTTTTTTTTTGTTTTTTTTTTAATTTTTTTTTAATGTTTTATTTATTTCTAGGAGAGAGAGAGAGAGGGAGAGAGAGACAGCGTGAGCAGGGGAGGGTCAGAGAGAGAGGGAGTCACAGACTGAAACAGGCTCCAGGCTCTGAGCTGGCAGTCAGCACAGACCCCGACGCGGGGCTCGAACCCACGAACAGCGAGATCATGACCTAAGCGAAAGTCGGACACTTAACCGACTAAGCCACCCAGGCACCCCTAGTTTTTAATTTTTGAAATTCTGAAAAAAATACAGAACATTGTGAAGAATGGTAAACTATATAGCTCCATTGTCCATTTGCATTTTATTTGCTTTTGATCTTTTTTTAATTAAAAAATAAAACATTTCAGATAAANAGACTGAAACAGGCTCCAGGCTCTGAGCTGGCAGTCAGCACAGAGCCCGACGCGGGGCCCAAACCCACGAACCGCGAGATCATGACCCAAGCGAAAGTCGGACGCTTAACCGACTAAGCCACCCAGGCGCCCCTCAGAAACGCTTGTTAAATCTTGCTCTTTTTCTGTTCCTGTTGCCACAGCCTTCATCTAGGCTCCTACCAGTTCTCACTTTGATTAATTTAATCTGGTGGTCCTGCACTGTCGCCTGGGTCATAACTTCAGGCTATAATTTGAGCCTAAGCTTGGAATTCTGGAAGGATTCCGTTGTACGATCTTAAGGTTCACTTCTGCTCTGTTATTTGGGATGAGGGCAGATACCATTTTTACATGTATAAACTCGGAATAATCAAATGTGCCCGAGAGCGCTATTTGGCCTTTATAGGAATCACCAGATTCTCCCTGATAATATCTTAGGAACCGAGCATTATCCCCGCTTCACAGTCGTCCCTGTTCCCGAGCTGCTCATCGTACCTCTGCCGGGTAGCATTTGCTGTCCACGGTGTGCTCAGAGCCCCAAGCATCAACGGCCCCCCAGTGAAAATGGAATTGCTTCAGCCGGTAGTTGTGTTCCAGGGGTCCTCCCTCGATCACTGAAATGGCACATCCAACAATTCAGGGGACAGCTTTTCACCAGGGAGGAATGCAGGGGAAAGGCTGAATCTTTAGGGGGAACTTCTATATGACCTTCTATATGAACTGTCTTAAATGGAGCACACTGTATTAGATACACGTGTGTATAAACTTGACTTCCACGCACTCAGTACAGGTATAAGGGCAAGACTTGGACTCTGAAAGACACTGAGAATTAACTACACTCAAAGCTCCGTACAACTGGTAAAGGCCAATTCTGGACTTATTTTTATATTCTGTATTTACTGTGCCCTGTGCCCACTTTTTTTTTTTTTTTTTACAGGAACATGAAATAAGGCTCAGAAACATAACAGAGGCTGTAGTCTACTTTAGTTTTTTCTGCACAAAAGTGAACCTTAAAACTCCTGTAACTAAGAAAACAGTTGCCTCACTACTTTGCATTTAACATGTAATTACTGTGTGCATAAGATTCCTATCGCAGTAACAGCTACACAAATTGACTGGTTTTATACTTGAGGTCACATAAAAGGTACATTAATTATCAAGTAGACTTGTCTTGGGACTCCCGGGTGGCTCAGGCAGTTAAGTGTCTGACTCTTGATTTTGGCTCAGGTCATGATCTCAGGCATCCTTGGGATTGAGCCCCGCATCAGGCTCTGTGTTGACCGCGTGGAGCCTGCTTGGGATCCTCTCTCTCCCTTTCTCTTTGTCCTTCCCCTGCTCGTGCGTGTGCGCACTCTCTCTTTCTCTCAAAATAATAAACATTCATTTAAAAGTAGAAATGTCTTATTTTAAAAGTATAAGAAAGTCAATTTAAACTGCCCTATCGCCTTTTTCCAACATCGAGATTAAAACAAACTAATAAAAGAGTGGAAAACTGAAAAACAGTTTCTTTTTCCACTCTTTTTCCATCTGAAAAACAGATCACTGTCTTTTACAGATGGGACTCTGGATAGGCAGAAGCTTTCACTGGTGTAGATGTGGAATCAATTATTTCAGGAAACAAATTCCCAAATGCCTTATGAAAAAAGTATACAACTCTACTTCAAAATATGTTATTTGCTCACTGCCAAAGACGGTTTTGTTTCAAATCTTGTTTCTGTAATTAAAGCCTAGTCAGCCATCATAAAAGGTTAGTGCCGACAGAACCTTTCAAAGTTAAACAAAAGCCACAAAAATTTAGCTAAAAGGCTTAAAGTAATTATAATTATAATTATAATTGTAATTATAAGAATGTTGGGGTGCCTGCGTGGCTCAGTCCATTGTGTCCGACTGCAGCTCAGGTCATGATCTCAGTTTGTGAGTTCGAGCCCTGCATTGAGCTCTGTGCTGACAGCTCAGAGCCGGGAGCCTGCTTCAGATTCTATGTCTCCCTCTCTCTCTGCCCCTTCCCTACTCATGTTTGTTCATGGTCTCTTTCTCTCTCTCAAAAATAAATAAACATTAACAAAAAATTAAAAACAAAAAGAATGTTAATTAGCCAACAAACAAGACCATAAGCAGATCCACCATGCTGGAGGGCTTTAATGACATTTAGGATAGTCCTGCCACAATTAACAGACAATCAGTGCATTCCCTACATAGCTCTATTATAGCAATGGATCAATTTCTAGAAATACCATAAGTGAACTTACTTAATAAAGGGGATCGTACAACATAAACAATCCATGGGCGCCATAGATGAATGCAGCTTTGCATTTTTGTTTCGAAGCAGCACCAGAATAGTTTTAAAACTGCTTGGTTACTCAGATTTCACCACGTCAAGAACTGGTTACTCCTGTGTCATTTTCTAAAAGCTTTTGGATGTAAATCACTAGTATCAATAGCAGAAGTTCTGTATCCTTTTATAACCCCAAGGTGTAAACATCTAGGTTTGGGAGGAACAAACACAGCATTAAGAGATCACAGGAAGGAATGACACTTGTGTATGTATCCGGCTGCTTTCCCACGGAGGCAACATTCAGTTACTCATATCCGGGTCTTCTCCATGATGATCATCCCCGTTCACTTTGGATTCTTTTAGTGAATCATCAGTTCCCTTTTCCACAAAACATTCTTTTGTTTTAGGGGAACTTGGTTCTGTTGGTTTCTTCTCTTTTTTCTCTTTCTTACGGTCATTCTCTTGTCCTTCTTCATGGTGAATTTTACATCTTTATCACTCTCTGATTTTCTTTCATGATCCTTTTCCTTATCTTTACCCTTCTTCTTCTTGCTTGTTGGTCGTTCTCTTTCATCTCTGCTTCTTTCTTTACCTTTCTTCTTCTTTTTATGTCTTCTAGGAGATGGTGAGCTAGACATTTCTCTTTTAGGTGACCTGGGCTTGGTAGGAGATCTTGTGCCACACCTACTTCGTTGGGGTTGTCTCTCTCTGCTTGCATTTCTGGAATGTATGGCTGTGCTATAACTGTTTGGTGATGTTTTTGAATTTTCCTTTTCTTTGTCTTCTTTCTTTCTGCCCTGGTTTTTGAGGTGCTCCTTGACCATCTACCTCTCTTTCTGGAATGACATCTCCTCTGTCTTGGACTCTTGGATCATCACCTACTCCCTGACTTGGAATATGATCTTCTCGATCTGCTTCTTGACTGCCTGTGCCTAGAAGATGAGGGAGTTCTCCTCCTCCTAGAACATGCTCTTGACCTTGGGTTACTGTGCCCATTTTTTAAACGTACAATAACATGCAAATTTCTCTTAGCATATTTATCCAACCCAATCTCGTAAAACTGAAATATGGGGACAGAAGACATTTGTTCTTTTTTATGCACTGATACTTTTGTTTTTTTTTTTTTAAAGTAAACCCTACACCCAATGTGGGACTCAAACTCATGACCGTGAGATCAAGAGTCATGTGCTCTACCTACTGTGCCAGCCAAGCGCCCCATGCATTTCAATTCTGGAAGATAACTACTGTTTATTTCCCTTTCATTGAAATAAAAAAGGAAATATGCAAGAGAAAACTCATTAGCCATCTGTCTCTGGACAGAGTAAACAATGTGAGTCATCCACACTGTGAGCCACTATCCTCACTGTGTGGGATAATAAATACCTTCTGTTTGGCTAGTGTGTTCTGAAATAGTGAAATCAACAGTTTAAATGCAAAATATCCATATAAAATAACAAGATTTTAAAATCATCTTTCCTCGGACTTTGGATTGTACTGATTTTTTTTCCTTGAATTTGCTAACACATATTAATTAGTTCCTCGTTTCTTCCATCTAATCCAACCTTAGAGATGTCTGTTCAAGGTTAAACCAATATAAGAGCAGAAAACCCATCTACCTCAATTATCTTAGTGATCTTTAGGGTTTACTGCATCTAGTTGAATTTTATGTATAATTACAGCACTCCCAAGGACTAAATATATTGGCTATGTCATGCAGTGGTCTGCTATGTATCTTATTGCCTTTTGACAATACTTTACATAATTTCTTCCTCAAAAAAGTTTTGAAAGAGGCAAGCAAAGACACCAATGACCACTTTTCTTTAAGGGGCAGGGGAGGTACAGAGAATGATACCACCTGGTTCACTAAATCAATAGGAGGATGGTACTAAAGCATACTAAAATAAGAATAAAATATTTTCCAAAAACTTGCTTTTCTGTGCCAGCGCCATAGTGTGAGCTTGACTATGGCAAATATTCAATGTAATCTGTTGAATGAAGTTGAAGTTCTCGTCCCAAGTTAAGTGACCAAGGCAGAGGGGAAGACTAGCTTTCCTCTCCTATCCCCGGAAACACACTGGCAACATATCCTGGACACTTACTGTGTGTCTGGTCCAAAGATAATAAGCAAGGCGGAGAGGAGATGTTACCAATGGGTGGCTGCAGGGGGAAAGGCGCAGAACTGGTCTCCAGGTGTGCTTTGATTCTCCCACACAGTGCTAAATACGTTTTAAAGGTCACTGCCGACATTTAAAGCTAGACCATTTCACAGAAAAGTCCACATTTATAACTTGAGAGGGAGACGCCCTGCCCAGGCTGGGCACATTCTCCCACCAGGCCGGTTCCTCGGTCACCGCTGTTGCCGTTTCTCTCACACTCTCCCAGCATGGCTCATGCTCGTTGCTTCTACGGTGCCGTAGGGCACCTCTGCATTTGTGATCCCTGGGAGAGAAGTTAGATGCCCAGGCATCTGGTTTGGGCACTTCTAACTAGAAAAATCATGGCGTCTGTACACGCGCTGGGTACTAGATCTTTATACAGTGTACATAGGGAGAGGTGAGGCAGGGAGGTGTTCTCCCGTATGATGTGGTTAACATGCACTTTACAGGAAAAGGACCTCAGTTTGAATTCACTGGCTTTGTCATTGGCCACGTATCCCGGCAGTTTCTAAGAAGACTCCCAATGGGCCCTGTCTCTTGGTATTCACACCGTTGTGTAATGCTCTCCCCCAGGTGTGAGCTGCACCTTGCGACTTGCTGCTAAGGGTACAAGTGACGGGTTGTCAGTTTTGAGATTGCTGGCGGTCATCTTGCTTGCCCTCTCAGGGGTGGCCTCTGGCCAACAGCCAGCAAAGAAACCGAGGCCCCGAGAGAAACTAACGGCCAACAGGAGTGAGTTTGGAAGAGGGTCTTTGGCAGAGGAGCCTTGAGATGAAACCCCAAGCACAGCTGACACCTCCATCACAGCCCAGCGCGAGACCCAGAGCAAGGGTACACAGGTAAGCTGCGCCCCCCACTCCCCATCACTGGGCATGGTCTGCAACACTCTGTGTATCAGCTGCGGCCTACCTCAGGCCTCACTTGTCTGCCACTTCCTTCTGGCACTTTACACAGAGTAATACCAAATACAAGCATTGCACTGCCTTGAACCTCCCCCTCCATGCAGACCGCCAGGGTGTCACCCCCTTCTAGGGAGCCTTATGCCACTGGACCCCACATGACCACTTCCCTCACAGCACTTAGCACTCTGCATTAACGCTGCCTGTTCATGGGTCTGTCTCCCCCACCGTATAAGCTCCTTAAAGGCAGCAACCTTCCCTTCTTCCTCTTTCCATTCTGAGCACCTGGCACAGGACATGGCACTTAGAAGATCCTCAGTGAAACCAGGAACTAAAGAAATAGACTGCAAAGTGTCTGCTGGGTTTGTTAATTGAAACATCAGTGGCAACCTCAGCAAGAGTGAAGAAAAAGGTGGGGCCAGGTGAGGCAGATGTGTGGATGACAGGGGGAAGTACAGTCAGCAAGAAACAGGCAGAAGGGAAACAGAAGACTGTAAATTAGAAAGCAGAGTAGTTAGAAGATATATCAAATAAACTATTTGGGGTGATGGCAATGTTCTAAAATTGGATTGTCCTAATGGATGCACCACCCTGTAACTTTGCTACAAATCATTACATTGTTTTCTCCAAAAAAGTAAATGCAAGACCAAAATTAGGAAGGAGAACTTCAAATGTCTTCCTGCGTTTACCCATGAGATCCCAGAGAAGTGTCAAGTGACATAAGATGGGGCAGGAAGCACCCTTTGGGGCCCAACACGACTCATTAGCTGATGAGAGTACTTTCAGAGGAGGTGAGATTGGGGATCACCCATGGACCTCAGCCCAGGCATAATTTAGTGCCCTTCCCCACACCTCACAATATTTTGTATCCTAATGCACTAACTGCATCCTATTCAGGGGAGCCAAATAACAAAACAATACCCAGCAAAGGGCAGTGGTATGAGAAGCACACATACTGTCTCTTATTATCCTTTTAATTTCTGTAAGGTTGGTGGTGATGTCCCCTCTTTCATTCCTGATTTTAGGAATTTGAGTCTTCTCTTACTTGTTTTCTTGCTCCACCTAACTAAAGGCTTATCAGCTTTGTTGATCTTTCTGGAAAACCAGCTTTCGACTTCATTGATTTCTGCTCTGTTCTTTATTATGCCCTTCTTTGTGTTTGTTCTGGGTTTAGTCTGCTCTTTTCCTTCTAGCTCCTTAAGGTGGGAGGCTAGATTATGGATTCGGGAAATTTCTTCTTCTCCAATACAGGCATTTTCATCTCTAATGTCCCTCTAAGCACTGCTTTTGCTGCATCCCATAAGGTTTGGTATGGTTTCCTTTTGCCACATACCTTCCTCAAGCCCTTTCTTTGCACAACTTATCCTGAGTTCTTTGTAAGGCACACCATAGCAGCATTTCTTAGTTGTTTTTTTTAAAGTTATAGACATTGATATTTATTAGCTCCTTTCCTTTCTACAATTAGAATTGGTTCTTGCCTTTCTTCATTTCTAGGAAGTCTTTGCTGTCTTTTATTTTTTAATGTTCATTCACTCTTTCTTCCTCTTTGAATGTTATTAATTATTTTTGCAACAGCATGGAGAAATAGCAATGAAAAATAAGCAGGAAATAGGAAGCAGTCACTGAAATGTGAAAAAAGAAAGAGAAAGTTAGGTACTTATCAAAGATTAATGGTATTTTAAAGAGAATGATTATTAAAGCATAATAATAATTTAAAAAAAAGGTTACCTATTTTGGTCCTTCCTAACAAAATAAGTGGAAAATTAGCAACCTCTCTACAATTTTTCTTATATATTTTATAAAAATAGTGTGACACTGACACACCTAGGGAAGGTAACATCGAGGAATGCTTTAGTCAGTTGTGCTTGGAGATATCTAATGAGTTATTATGAGGAAAATGTACAGGTCATTTGTATTCTATTGAGATTGCCCTAGCAAATGTGTGGATAAGAATTCATGAATCTATTGTTAAAAAGGAAAAAAATGACTAAAGAAATGAAACAGAAAGCTATTTGCCTTGAATGATCTTGAGATTAACTCACTTGGTTAGAAACCTATTAAACAACTTCCCACAATTTATGACTCCGTGAAGCAAACTTATATTGGAAACAGACCCTACACCGTCAAGGTCATTATAAGGCTAACCAACATTCAGGATCCTCAGAAGAAAAGAAGCAAGGTTGTCAGGGACATAGACAGAATTGAGATCTGAGAGGGTTGCTGTGCGTCCAGAATGCATGCAGGAGAGTTGGTATTTACAGACTGGGTCTGCCCATTGGTCTAGTTGGCAGGAGTAATACTAGAACTCAACAGAGACAAGTAAAGCTCATGGTCATGCAAGATGGTCATCTGGAATACAGGAATTTAGGTTGCTGTTTTGAATATTTCTGGAATCCTTATATACAATGTAATATTACAGTATTCCAGTAATATTATAGCTTCCAGTTGAGACAGGGGCACACTATAGGGTTTTGGAAAAGTTAGGAAAGACTCTAATGAATCTGGGAGGAAAAGAAGTAATTTCTTCTCAGTTTGACAAATGTAAGCAAGATGTTCAGGGTTTGGGGGCCACATCATACCACAGAGGAGAAAGAAAAAAATAGGGACCATAGAGACACCTAAGCTCTTAAAGACAGACCTGAGCACTTCCTGGGTCACAGCAGAGAAGTATGTCAAAGGGAAGAGAGCCAGAGAGAGAGAGAAAGAATTCCCATTGGAGGAGCAGTCTGTTTGCTGCCGGGCTGCGTCTAAGTTTCAGAGCAGCAACACTAGGAAAATGCACAGAGAAGCGAGATACAGCTGGGAATTCTAGAGCGAGGATACATACAGGACTGAACACTTCCATTTATGCTTTAGGTTACATTTTGTACTTCATTCGTTAACACTTTCACAGGCACATTTCCTCATATTCATAAGAGGAAATGAATTTCCTAAAGGGTCTCTCAATCTCAGCTCTATTGATATATGGGGCTAGATAACTCTTTGCGAATGTTGTCCTGCGCCCTGTAGGCTCTTCAGCTATTTTCCTGGCCTTGACCCACAAGATAACAGGTGCAGCCCCCCGCCCCAAGTGTGCCAACTGAAAATGCCAACACATGTTGTCAAGAGTTCCCAGAGTTTAGGGAGGAAGGGGTGGTAAAATTGCCACTGGTTGATAACCACTAAGACAGACTATTTCAAATAATTATTGTTTCAGATGAAGACTATTCTATACCACCAAATTTGATTTGAAAAGGAAAAGAAACCTACATAGAATTAGTCACATTCTGTGTTCAATAGACACTAAAAGTTTTAGGTAAACTTTGAAATCACTCAGATTAGTTTATATCTGGGTGGGTTGAAAACCAGGTAAGATTCAAAACCAATATAATCTCTGGACTTGAAAATCTCTTTTAAATTGTGTTTATTTGATTAAACGATGGTAACATTGTTTAATGGTAAGCAATTAAACATTGTTACCATCGTTTAATCAACAAAATTAACAGAATATGAGTTTTTATTTTATAATACAGAGCTGGTTGTTAAGATTATAACCTCAAGATTATGAGCACATGAATATGCTTTTTGCCCCATTTCAAAGGTACTGCAATCCAATCAGTTAAATCTGATTAAATAGTATTAATATTTAATGTAAAAGTGTCTTGTAAAGTGAGCAATGAGAGAGAATCGGTACATATTCAATACACCCAAAATAAATTTCAGGCAAAGCTTTAATTTCACAACCTGTTTTCTGTCTATACATAGAGATATACATACTTATTTATATAAATACTACCTATACTAGTAGAAGAAAGTGTTCATAAAAACCCAAAGGTATTTTTTGCATACATTGAAAAAGAGAAGTACGCCGAGTCCCACGCCACCTCTGAAAGAGGTCCACAGTGTGGTGTGGCCTGTGCTCACATCAAACTGTCCCCTTAACTCCAGACAAGATCCCCCAGTCTGACTCTCACCTGACTTATCTGTAGAATCTTCGAATTCCACAAGGAAGGAGTACCCGTTATTCCAGACATGGAGGCAGGTGGTCGGGTCGTAAGAGATGGTGAGCGGTTTTAGGGCTGGATCATAGATACTGTCCCTCCACCGGATGTTGATGGGCGACTGGCGCTCGCCCGCCGGGACCAGGTCCACGCTCTCCCAGAGCGGGTGCACTAGGAGAAAGCACACCGGGGCTATGTCGAGACGGCCAGCGTCTGGGACCACGCGTGAGGCAATTCCAGTGGTGGGGAGTGTTCGAGGCCCGTGGACTCGACGTCTTAGCCACCGGGGGGGCGGGGGCAGGGCTGAAGGGTTGACTAAGGCAGAGGACAAAGCAGGTCAGAGGGCACCTTGCACGGGCACAGCCTCCCGCTGCTCTGTCAGACGCGAGAGCCTCGGTCCACCCGCCAATTTCACCCGAACCATGTGCCCCCCGCTCTTGTGAGAACAGTAAGGCGCTAAATCATGACCAACAACGCTCTGAACCTCACTCCACCTCTAGGAAAGAGTGTAAGGATTTGAGAGAGTGATGAGGTAGCTGCGACTTGGTCAATCTCCGGTGTGTTTGGTGGGGTCTCTTGACACACCACTGTTCAAACAAAACCAAAGAAAACAGAAAGTTACCACTGGTTTACTCTTACAGAAAAGGCATCTCTCTTCCTGAGCTACCTGCCCCAAAGCTAGACATTCAAGATGTTAGTCTTGTTATTTTTGGAAAAAGAGCCCCAGCAGTATAGACAGAGCTCTTCAGGCAGCTACTAGAATAGTGATTCTCAATGAAGGGAGCAATTCTGCTCCTTGGGGGACATTTGGTAATGTCTAGAGACATTTTTGGTGGTCAAAACTGGAGTTAGGTGTTACTGACATCTAGTGGGTAGAGGCCAGGCATGCAGCTAAACATCCTAAAATTCACAGGACAGGCACCCATAAGAAAGAATCGTCTGGCCCCGAAGATCAGTAATACCAAACTTGACAAATCTCGGTCTTGAGCTGAACAACACAGGCAAACTCAGAATATCCTCTTTTTCTTTTTTCGTATAACGCTATACTCCCATCCCTAGAGAAGTCTGAACCCAGTGTTTTTGGCTTGTTTTTCCCTTAGTGAAAAGAACTGGAGAAGAGCAAGAACTTAGAGAAGAGTGTCAGCTTTCTGTTTCATAAATCCTAAGTGAAAAATACATGTGAATTGTTACAACACAGTCACAATCTGGTTACGGTGCAAATTCCTTGCAGATGGGAGTGTCTTCCTCCTCTTTTTGTTGCCTTATTATACGTCCTTTCATTTTCGTATTGATTATCCATCTGCCATTTCTGGGATTAAAAGCTCTATTTCATTACTTGTGTAATATTTTTTTAAACTTCTAGGATCCCCTAGAATAGCCCTGATTCAGTTTGATTATTTTTTGCTCTGATTTAAAAATTTTTTTTAAATTCCAATATAGTTAACATACAGTGTTATATTAGTTTCAGGTACACAATGTAGTAACGTATACAATTCCATACATCAACCTGTGCTCATCAGGACAAGCTCACTCCCTAATCCCTGTCACCTGTGTCACCCATCCCCCCCCCCCTCCATTTCCCCTCTGGTAACGATCAGTTTGTTCTCTGTAGTTAAGAGTCTGCTTCTTGGTTTCTCTCTCTCTCTTTTTCCTTTGCTTGTTTGCTTTGTTTCTAAATTCCACATATGAGTGAAATCATATGGGGTTTCTCTTTCTCTGACCGACTTACTGCACTCAGCATTACACTCTCTAGCTCCATCCATGTCCTTGTAAATGGCAAGATTTCATTCATTTTTGACTGAATAATATTCCAGTGTGTGTGTGTGTGTGTGTGTGTGTGTGTGTCTATATACCTCTTGTTCTTTATCCATTCATCTGTCAATGGACACTTGGGTTGCTTCCATAATTTGGCTATTACAAATAACACTACAATAAACATAGGGGTGCATATATCCCTTTGAATTAGTGTTTTTGTAATTTGGGGATAAATACCCAGCAGTGCAATTGCTGGAACAAAGGGGTACGTTCCTTAACATTTTGGGAAATCTCCATATTGTTTTCCACAATGGCAGCACCAGTTTTGCATTCCTGGCAACAGTGAAAGAGTGTTCTTTTTTCTCCACATACTCGCCAACACTTGTCGTTTCTTGTCTTAGTGATTTTAGCCATTCTGACGGGTGTGAGGTGATATGTCACTGTGGTGTTGATTTGCACTTTCCTGATGATTAGTAATGCTGAACATCTTTTCATGTGTCTGTTGGTCATCTGTAGGTCTCCTCTGGAGAAATGTCTGTTCATGTCTTTGGCCCATTTTTAAATTGGATTATTTGGGTTTCTTTGTTTTGAGTTGTACAGGTTCCTTATATATTTTGGATACTAACCCTTTATCAGATACAAAATTTGCAAATATCTTCTTTCATTCAGTAGTTTGCCTTTTAGTTTTGTTGATCATTCCTTTTGCTGTGCAGAAGCTTTTTATTTTGATATAGTTCCAATAGTTTATTTTTGCTTGTTTCCCTTGCCTCAGGAGACATACCTAGAAAAATGTTGCTATGGGTGATGTCACAGACATTACTGCCTGTGCTCTCTTCTAGGAATTTTATGGTTTCAGGTCTCATATTTAGGCCATTAATCCATTTTTGAGTTTATTTTTGTGTATGGTGTAAGAGAGTGGCCAGTTTCATTCTTTTGCATGTAGTTGTTCGGTTTTCCCAGAACCATCTGCTGAAGAGACTTTATCCCATTGCATATTCTTGCCTGCTTTGTCAAAGACTGATTGACTATATAATCATAGGTTTATTTCTGGGTTTTCTATTCTGTTCCATTGATCTATGTGTCTATTTTTGTGCCAGTACCATACTGTTTTGATTTCTACAGCTTTGTAATATAATTTGAAGTCTCGAATTGTGATACCTCCAGTTTTGTTCTTATTTTTCAAAACTGCTTTGGCTATTCGGAGTCTTTTGTAGTTTCAAACAAATTTTAGGTTTTTTTGTTGTAGTTCTGTGGAAAATGTTGTTGGTATTTTGATAGGGAATGCATTAGTGTAGATTGCTTTGGATAATATAGACATTTAAAAAATGTTTATTCTCCCAATCCATGAGCATGGAACATCTTTCCATTTCTTGTGTCATTTTCAATTTCTTTCATCCATGTTTTATAGTTTTCAGAGTACAGGTCTTTCACCTCTTTGGTTAGGTTTATCCTTGGGTATCTTATTTTTGGTGCAACTGTAAACAGGATCAATTCCTTGATTTCTCTTTCTGCTGCTTCAATATTAGTGTATAGAAATGCAACAGATTTCTGCACATCGATTTTGCATCCTGTGACTTTACTGAATTGATCTATTAGTTCTAGTAACTTTTTGGTGGCATCTTTCTGGTTTTCTATATGTAGTACCGTGTCACCTTACAAATAATGGAAGTTTTACTTCTTCCTTCCAGATTTGGATCCTTTTTATTTATTTATTTTGTTGCTGTTGTCTGATTACCGCGGCCTGGACTTCCAGTACTATGTTGAATAAAAGTGGTGACAGTAGACATCTGTCTTGTTCCTGATGTTAAGGGGAAAGCTCTCAGTTTTCCCCCATGGAGTATGATGTTCACTGTGAGTTTTTCATACATGACCCTTATTACGTGGAGGTATGTTCTCTCTAAACCTACTTTGTTGAGGGCTTTTATCATGAATGAATATTGACTTTATCAAATGCTTTTTCTGCATCTATGAAATGATCATATAGGTTTTATTCTGTTATTGATGTGATATATCACATTGACCGATATTTGAATATTGAACCACCCTTGCATCCTGGGAATAAATCCCATTTCATCATGGTGAATGTTTTTTTTAAATGTATTATTGGATTCTTTCTGCTAGTATTTTGTTGAGGATTTTTGCATCTTGTTCATCAGAGATATTGGCCCATAGTTCATTTTTTTGTGGTGTTGTAAGGACACAAGTCTAAACGTCTAAACCAAACTGACTCCATGACAGGCTTTAAGTTTCCCCTCTAAACTAGAAGGCCTGAGTTTCAGCTTCCCCGAAACTATCAGGCAGTTACACATTGCCCAAGGCAGGAGTAATCACCCTTGCAACACCCAATCAAGAAAGGCCAGCGACCACCCTCCACATTATTAAGGGAGAGGCCTGGAGATAGAAACTATAGATAGGACCCTGTTACCTAAGGTTAAAGTTAACCCGTTAGTCGCCGAATAAGACCCTAGGCTCGCTCTGTGATTGCGTAAATTTAAAGGTACTCTAAACGTTGTCATTGGATCCCGCCAAAAGTAACGAATACTCTAGACAATGTGTATGGTCAAACCCGCTGTCAATGATGTTGTATAATTATGACTGGATCTCTGTTCCCATGTCACAACTTCTGTAACTCCCCCGTCACAAACCCCATAAAAACCCTACTCTGCCCCTGCTTAAGGCTCACAGCACGGATCCACGGTATTCGTGAGGTCTGTGAGCCTTAGCTTGAGCCTTTAATAAATCCCTTTGCCTTTGCATGCGTGACTCGGTCTCCCCGGTGGTCTCTGGTCGTTGAGGATACTGCGATCTGGGTATAACAGTGTCTTTATCTAGTTTTGTTATCAGGGTGTTTACTGGCTTCATAGAATGAACTTGTACGTTTTCCTTCTATTTTTTGGAATAGTTTGAGAAGAATAGGTATTAATGCTTTAAATGACTTTTGTTTGCTGTAAGTCTTGATTACAGATCCAATCTCCTTGCTGGTAATTGGTCTGTTCAGGCTGATTCGGTTGTAGGATGCCTGGCACCAAGAGACTCGGCCGCACCTTCCCCTCTGAGATACTCAGACTGTGGCCGAGGAGTTGAGAATCCACACTCTTCAAAACCAGTTCATGAGGGTCTCCGGTAAAGCCCAGGCAAGAAGGGGACTAACAAGCAGATCCCCAAGAGATGATCCCTCCTTCCACCCTGACTCGTCCCCCACTCTACTGAGGAAATGCCCAGAATCTACTCTCACCCATGCGAACACCGGCCCCCAAATCCCAGGCCTATCCCTTCATTGTTCTTTTATGCCCTTGACGCTCCTATCAACTGATGCCCTTCAGGTCACAAGTTCAGCTTCTGGAAGGTTTCCTACCCCCCACCCCCACCCCCCACCTCCTCCTCTGGAACCCAAACCATCACCCCACCGGGTACCC